AGTAGCTCCGCCAGTAGAACCTTAGGGGCTACTGCCGGTCCCAAGCCCGGATAAAGGAGGAGGGTTGGACATGGGGTTGGCGGCCCCATTCCGTTGAAATCTAACTTGCCAAAAAAACGCTAACCAGAAAAAATAATTCAAACCATTTTAACTCTGCCCTGGGAGTTGGAAGAAGAATTATGACGTCTCGTGATGAAAGCCGAGTCCCCTCGGAAGTCACGGGGCCGATGCCTCTTCTGACAACCAGAGCAACCATTTTTTTAGGTACATGGAACGTTCGTACATTGTGGGAGACTGGAAGACTATTTCAAGTTGCGGCAGAAATGAAAAGATACAACCTCGAGGTGCTCGGCATCAGTGAAACACATTGGACACAGGTAGGACAACTGAGACTTGCTTCAGGGGAACTGCTGTTATACTCTGGTCATGAAGAGGAAAACGCTTCACATACACAAGGAGTTGCACTGATGCTGTCCAAACATGCACAAAAGGCACTGATAGGATGGGAATCTCATGGACCCAGGATCATTAAAGCATCCTTCAAAACAAAGAAACAGGACATTACAATGAACGTCATCCAATGTTATGCACCTACCAATGACTACAATGACGACGTAAAAGATCAATTCTACGAAAGGCTGCAGTCAGTCGTCGATAAATGTTCACCAAAGGATTTGACGATTCTTATGGGAGACCTGAATGCCAAAGTTGGAATGGACAACACTGGATATGAAGACATCATGGGACGACATGGACTGGGAGAAAGGAACGAAAACGGTGAGAGATTTGCAAACCTATGTGCCTTCAACAAACTGGTCATCGGTGGCACAATATTCCCGCACAAACGCATTCACAAAGCACATGGATTTCACCGGACCACACTACTCAAAACCAAATTGACCATATCTGTATCAACAAAAAGTTCAGAAGGACCATGGAGGATGTGAGAACGAGGAGAGGAGCTGATATAGCTTCAGATCACCACTTGCTGATCGCCAAAATGAGATTGAAGCTAAAGAAGCACTGGACAGCGGGGCAGACAACATCACAGAAGTTTAATACAGCCTTTCTTCGGGATACCGTAAAACTCAACGAATTCAAGATAGCCCTCACCAATAGGTTCCAGGCCTTTCAGGATCTACTCAATGGAGAGGAAGCAACATTGGAGAACAATTGGAAAGGGATTAAGGAGGCAATCACTTCAACATGTCAGGAGGTCCTTGGTCGCAAGAAGCACCATCACAAGGAATGGATCTCTGTTGGTACTCTTGAAAAAATTCAAGAAAGGAGGAACAAGAAGGCAGCTATCAATGTCAGCCGAACAAGAGCAGAGAAAGTTAAGGCACAAGCTGAATACACAGAAGCAAACAGGGAAGTGAAGAAGAGCATCAGAGCTGACAAACGAAAATATGTAGAATATCTAGCAATGACGGCGGAAAAGGCTGCAAGAGAAGGAAACTTGAGACAATTGTACGAAACAACAAAGAAGCTGGCCGGAAACTATCGTAAACCAGAACGACCAGTGAAAAGCAAGGAAGGGAAAATAATCAGCAACACTGGCGAACAGCGAAATAGGTGGGTAGAGCACTTTAAGGAACTCCTGAATCAACCAGCTCCACTGAACCCACCCAACATCGAAGCAGCATCCACGGACCTCCCAATTAATATTGGCGCACCTACGATTGAGGAGATCAGTATAGCCATCAGACAAATCAAGAACGGCAAAGCAGCAGGACCAGACAACATTCCAGCAGAGGCAATCAAAGCAGATGTAGAAGCAACTGCGAAAATATTTCACATCCTCTTCAAGAAGATTTAGGATGAGGAACAAGTACCATCAGATTGGAAAGAAGGATACCTCATCAAAATACCAAAGAAAGTCGATCTCAGCAAGTGTGAAAACTACAGAGGCATCACTCTTCTTTCAATACCAGGCAAAGTCTTCAACAGAGTATTGTTAAACAGAATGAAGGACTTCGTAGACGCCCAACTTCGAGATCAACAGGCTGGATTTCGTAAGGATCGATCGTGTACTGACCAAATTGCTACATTACGGATCATTGTGGAACAATCAATTGAATGGAACTCATTACTATACATCAACTTCATCGACTACGAGAAAGCATTTGATAGCGTGGATAGGAAAACACTGTGGAGGCTTCTTCGACACTACAGTGTGCCTGAGAAAATAGTCAACATCATACGGAATTCTTATGATGGATTCAACTGCAAAATCGTGCACGGAGGTCAGCTGAAGACTCTTTTGAGGTGAAGACCGGTGTCAAGCAAGGGTGCTTACTCTCACAATTTCTCTTTCTCCTGGTCATCAACTGGATTATGAAGACGTCAACATCTTGAGGGAAGCACGGTATCAACTGGACAGTTAGGACGCAGCTGGACGATCTGGACTTCGCAGATGACCTTGCTCTTCTATCGCACACTCAACAACAAATGCAAGAGAAGACGACCAGTGTGGCAGCAGCCTCTGCGGCAGTAGGTCTCAACATACATAAAGGAAAAAGCAAAATTCTCCGATGCAACACAACATGCACCAACCGAATCACGCTTGATGGAGATACCTTGGAGGACGTTAACACCTTCACATATCTTGGCAGCATCATCGACGAGAAAGGTGGATCGGACGCAGATGTGAGGGCGCGGATTGGCAAAGCAAGGGCTGCATTTCTACAGTTGAAAAATATCTGGAACTCCAAACAACTTTCAAACAAAACCAAAATCAGGATCTTCAATACAAATGTCAAGACAGTTCTACTGTATGGAGCGGAAACATGGAGAACTACCAAAGCCATCATCCAGAAGATACAAGTGTTTATTAACAGTTGTCTACGCAAAATACTTCGTATTCGTTGGCCAGACACCATCAGCAACAACGAACTGTGGGAGAGAACAAGTCAGATTCCAATGGAGGAGGAAATGAGGAAGAAGCGGTGGAAGTGGATAGGACATACACTACGAAAAGCACCCAACTGCGTCACTAGACAAGCCCTTACATGGAACCCTCAAGGCAAAAGGAAAAGAGGAAGGCCAAGGAACACACTACGCCGAGAAATAGAGAAAGATATGAGAGGAATGAACAAACATTGGACAGAACTGGAGAGGGAAGCCCAGGACAGAGTTGGTTGGAGAAAACTGGTGAGCGGCCTATGCTCCATTGGGGGTAACAGGCGAAAGTAAGTAAGTAAGTAATACACTGGGTTCTTGGATGAATCACAGAGTTAATGATACCATTCGGTTATCCATACAGAACTAGGTGGAGCTAGTTTAAAACCTGGGACCTGATGGCTGAGCTAATGAAGTTGACTAACCTGTTGTGGGACTGAGCGAGACTTGCTTTGACTGGTGGCAACATTTCAACGTTATTGACAGAATTCTGGACAAACAATGCATTGATCATTACTCAATGATCAATTATTTATTGATTTCCCAGTTAGCTGAAAGTCAGTTGAAATTCGAATAACTCAGTTTTAGCGTCACAGACTGTGAAGCTGAGTAACTTGAGTTCTCATCCTTTTGGAAATAACAGTTCTCTCAATAATTTAGCTACAGTCTGGTGATAAGTGTTAACCAACACGTGTATTGTGTACGAACATATTCTAGACTAAACAACTCATAGTTTTTCTGTAATTAATATGCTGTTTTATCAAAATTTAAAATGAATGACGTTCATTTTGGAACTCTGTTGTTTTCTACAATGTCTGTTTGATTGTTCATATTTTCGAATGATACTTACGACTCATCTGCCAAGACTATGGTCATGATTGTATTTTCATGTTAGTATCTATGCTTTGAAAACTGGATATTTTACGAATTTGATTCCATTTGCTTTCTTTTTATCTCACTAATTCACTATTAGACTATCAACCTAACTCATCTCAAAACATTAATTGATTAGTTTAACATAAGTACGAGTCATTGGATTTCTATGAATTCAAAAAACTAACTGAAAGTTAATATTCGGCTTGTCTCCGATGCTAGATAAAGTCCTGTTCTTTTACTCCTAGTTTTCCTGTTAGCTACAGATAGAATATCACCTTCCCTTACCATAGTGTCCTCATGTGATTTCGCTTCAAGGCTGAACGTACATGTGACCTATAATATGTTAAACTAAGCATGACAAGTTTAGATCTGGGTGAAGCTGAAGAACTGTCTTAGCTATTCTGATGAATACACTGTATCAGTAAGATTATGATCAAATCATTTTATAACAAATTTTATGAAGTGATTTTTATTAATTTGTCATTTTGTGATATTTTTAAACAATCAGCTAAATTACGTTCAAAATCGCGTATTAGTCAAGGTGATCAATTGAATAGGATAAAAGCAATGCGACGTCCAATGCAACAACGTTCACTTGATACACAAAAACACATCAACACTAAATTAACAAATATTAATAGTCATTTAATTCGTAACTTCAATGATGCATCAAGTAGTCCAACTAATACCCATGAGTTGTATCGTGTTCCAGCTTCAGTTACATTATCTATGACAAGTATGCAAGATCAATTGCCTGAAACTACAATGATTTACTCATCTAATTTCAGTAGCTTTAATAATATCAATTCGTCATACTCTGATACTAAGAATAACAAAAGTGACCATAAATCTCCTATATATTCAAGTAATAAGGATTCTAGAATGCAACCTGTTACCTTGACAAAATGTACTCCATCGACTATTGAATCAACAACTGGTCCATCACGTTTTTCTCGGTATCCGACTCGTCAGTCGTCAAATCGTCACAACAATGGTTCGATCACAGTTAAAGTACGGTAAGTAGTTGTATTGACTATTGTATTTTGTAAAAGAACCTATGCATTTATGCCACTTATTGATAAATGGTTGATTTCACACACATACACACACACACACGATATTCTTATTTATATATCTTAAAGACTACAATATGAATAAAAGTATTAATTTTAGTCATTAATCATCTGCATTAAACCAGACCATTTTGTGCTATCCATAATATCCTCTTTTATCGAGATTTCATTGTAATGGAAAATAACTTTCCAGCTACTTGTTAAAAAAAACACAGTTTTACAAGTAGGACTATTAAGTTTCATTCATTGATTTTCATGTAAATATACAAATATCCAACCATACTTTAAAGCCTACTTGAAATTGCGGATAATCATTAGCATACAAATATTTGTTAATATTTGACAGAATAGTATAGTATATAGTATATAGAAGATATTATTTGTAAAAATTATATTTGAAATAATTTAAGCGATTAAAGTTACAGAAATTCCAGCATTTTGTCTAGCAAACATGTCTAGAATTTTTCAGAATAATAATCAAAATTAAAATTGATTAATTTAGTTAAAAGGCATTTCAAGTGGATGAAAAACATTCCTATAATCACACAAAAAGTGTAAAGATGTGACTGTCGTATAAATCAACATTTACTGTCAGTAAATAGCAATCGAAAACGTTTTGAAATTTAGTAATCAGTTTATGATGGTCTGTGGTCTGTGTCAGTCGGTGAGTTAGCTACAACGTAAAACTTCGTCTGTACGTATATCAGTTCAAGTTGTCACACCACATTAGCACAGACATTTAACTGTCAATTAAAAACCCATAGTGGTAGAGGAAGTAGAAGGATTAGCGGTAATAGGAAACATTAAGGATTAAAGATATGATTCGATAAGTTTATCCCAGTGAAATCAATTTTAAAAAGTGAAAGATGAAGGTCATGAGAAATTCAAAAGATTATAATTTGAGAGAAGACAAACAATGCATGTAACTGCATCATCGTAAACGTCTCTGAGCAACGTCGTTCAAAGTCTCTAACCATCCGTTACAATTGTCTAGAGTAATCCAACCAGTTAGTCTAAACCTACTAACACGACTCAGTCTACTTGTCAGTGACTTCATCGATTTTCACCGTGTTTTGATTTAGTCACCACTAGCTTTATTCGCGCCTACTCCTATATAACAAAGCATCGCTCATGGAGGCAGTTGGTGGTTGGACATACGTAACAACACATGTCCCAACCATCACTGCTGATGAAGATTTACTACTTCATCAACTGATATGCCTCCTTACCTAGTACGCGTTTCTTAACCCCAGAATCGCCTACTCCATTATCCCAGGATATACGAGCAATGTTTCAAAGACACCTATATTCGAATACTAGCAACCTACGAATATCTTCAACTCCTACCGGCCATGTTTCACAGCCGTAAAGTAGGACGGAAAGAACTGCTGCATAGTAGACTCGTCCTTTGGTTAGAAAATGGATATCTTGCCGACTCCATAAGTAACACAAGTTGGCAAATGTCAGTCAATGATTGTGTATCCGTGCTGAGATTTCGTCAGATACCAGGCCATCAGTACTGATGAGACAACTGAGATAAGTGAAGAGATCAACATGCTTTATAATTTCGCTCCTTATCAATAGTTCAAGTGAAGATACAAGCCGATCCTAGTCTGTAAAAACCTTACTGAACAATCTATTTTACTGTTAAACCATTCACCACATACCGTTTAATCACGTTTTCGTGAAAAATATGGTATTTTTCCAATATGATAATTCTTCACAATCATAGTCCAAACTCTGTCTCCTGTAGTACTAGGGTTAATGAGATATGTAGGGTTCTCAGGTGTATCAGGGATATTTGTTATCGATCCATATAGCATCAATAAAAATCTATTTGAATCATCACAATAGACCGCAGTCAGTTAAAGCAGCGTATTATTTGAATAATCAATCTACTTTTGTTCCATCTACATGGTTGAACTCATGATTTTCTAGGATTTCATTTTTTTTAATCTGTGGCTTTATTTATTTTAAAGTATATGAATTATGTAAATGTATTTTATGAATAACTCACTCTGAAATCGTCCTACCGTAATCAACAGTTTTTTTTTCTTAGTTCAATAGAACCGAGAGTGTTAGTTACGTTGATTTGTATACAGAATTTATTTGTTTAACTTCATTGAGAAAAGTTATCTTAATAGGGAATAAAATCTGGCTCAATTACAGAGGTAAAAAATCTTTTCGAAAATTCTGATTACATTAATATTTACGTCAGAGTTGGTTAAAAGGCCTATAATATATTATTTCCAACCATATAAACATCATTCTTTTCGAAAGGTTTGTTACTCAAACTGTTATCCTCTAGTGAGACTATCTAATTTATTTTTATTCTGAGGTACAATCCTTAAATTACTGTTTTAGTATTTAATCATTATTTCGTTAATAATGATGTAGTTGATTTCCGTGCATGTTTTTCTTTTATTACCTGAAAATATCCGCTTCTCGAAAATTAGATCATTTAGCATCCACAAAATAATTGTCACTTATACATGGATAGTCAAGATATCACAATTCGAAATTAACTTTTAAATAATTTTTCTGATATGTTTTTATTTAATTGCAGAATAGTCCAGTTCATGCAAATCATATAAGCTAAAGCTTCATGCTTATCGATACATACATTAAGTGATATAATCTCTGTACATTCCTTGTCATTCTGGATAGTACCAGTGTTAACTTTGTGTACAAGTATTAAGCCTTGATTCTGTCCAGAATGACAATGAAAGTTCCCCGATCAAGCTCTTTAGCTCAAGAAACACAATACTAGAAAAGTATTCTCCGGAAGTGCAAATATTTATCATTTCATGCATCTAAAGAGAATGATCAAGTAGTTTTGTTCCCACAAAATCTGATCATTTTGTTTATTTGAACACAATTCAAAGCCGTTTCAAAGACTGAAACTTTTTGTTTAGGCCCACGTTAACTTTAAACTATTAGATATTTTTGTGTCGTTCAAATATGTTACTACTTAAACTGAAATAATCTAGAAATTATCCCTCTGTGAGGAACAGTAAGCTCACAGATTTTCACAGTGAAAGTTGAATTTATGTTCTGTATTACAAACTTTGTTCGATCTCCTTTCTTGATATTATTAGAAATAAACTTTGTTTGTCTGTTTGCAGACCCATTTCTAATGAAAATCACTGCACAACAAATGAAGGTGGGATTCATTCAAATTTAATATAAACTAACATGACTTCTCAAAAAAAAATGTAGAAATCCATTAAATTAGTTCATCATCCATTCATAATGAAAACTATATTTACTATATCTAATTCATTCGAGATACATCTATAAAATTATATGCCTCTCTAAAATTAACCATCTGCCTTTATTCATTAAAAAAAAATTCATTCCTAAGTATATTCTTGCACACATATATGCCTAGTTGCATCTCATCTTAATTTAAACATAAATCGTTCGATTTAACTCGGCTGGTGTTATAGCACTGAACAACTAAACTTGTTTAAACTTGATAATTAAACGTCCAAATGTATAAAATATTTTGTTTCATTTTATTTATTACTGATACATTATGAAGTTTTACGCTTAAGATTTCACAGTGGTCAACTTGTTTGTTTGTGCTTTTGTTTTACAGCAATAGAATGGGAGTGAAACGTACTAAACCAACTACTGATAATAATACTAATAATAATAATAATAACCACTCAACTATTATTGATCATAACATAGATAAGGAGAAGTCGATGGTCAATTCACTTTCATTATTCACCAACAGATCAGTCACATCACCACGACCTCCACCACCAACAACAACAGTTATCTCAACTAATACTTCAGTTCCAATGACCATGCATTATGCATCAATACCAACGAGAAGTACATCACCAACAATTAGACAATCTGGTAATTTAAGGGATACAATAACATATGCTAATTCAGCTGGTACTAGGAACAGTAATCGTACAAATTCGAAAAGTACCAATATTCATTACAGTAGTAACTTCATAAATATTCCTGAATATGATAATGTTTTACAGGATAAAACAGATGCATTAGACAGCACGAAATACTCTAAAATGTCTAACAATAATCGAAATTCAATTGCATCGGATTATACAAATACTACTAATAACAATAGTAATACTAATAACCACAGTAATTCTTCAGTAAACAAGCCAACTTATAATCTTAGGCAAAATGTCCGCCAAGAACAGCAATCAAAACATCAGCAACGACAACAAAAGTCGGCCATTACTAGTGATCATCACTCCGAAACAAATCACATTTCTTCGTCTAATCATCAGTCTGCAAAATCACCAGGAACGAAAACAATACGATTACCTATGTAAGTAGTCATTGTGTGTTTGTAACTGTTTGATCTGTCCCAGATATATATATTTGTGTTTATTAAAACAATTCAGCGGAAAAAATCTGCGTTTCAACGATATCAATAACTTAAACTGCATAATCGTAAAGTTAATTTGTAAATGAAATAGTCTATTGACGATCAAGTGACCAACTATCCTTCTCAAATTTGATACCATCCTATTATTTCTCTTCTATTCTTGATTACTAAGCAACTTTCTTTAACAGACTATATGATTTATTCTTCCTCTTATCCTTGAGGGGACCAGGAATAACGTTTCGTGAACTGTTGCTAAACAAAGGACGAGTCTACTATGCAGCAGTTTTCTCCGTCCTACTTTGTGGGTGTGAAACATGGCAACGAAGAATAGAGAATATTTCTAGGTATTCGATCAAGGGTGTCTTCGAAGCATTGCTCTTATAGAGCAAACAATGCTGTCGTCAGAAAACGAGTACTTGGTAAGAATGGTAGATCGATTGATGAAGTAGTAAATCTTCATCAGCAGTGATGGTTGGGACATGTGTTACATATGTCCAACCACCAACTGCCTCCATGAGCGATGCTTTGTTATATAGGAGTAGGCGCGAATAAAGCTAGTGGTGACTAAATCAAAACACGGTGAAAATCGATGAAGTCACTGACAAGTAGACTGAGTCGTGTTAGTAGGTTTAGACTAACTGGTTGGATTACTCTAGACAATTGTAACGGATGGTTAGAGACTATGAACGACATTGCTCAGAGACGTTTACGATGATGCAGTTACATGCATTGTTTGTCTTCTCTCAAATTATAATCTTTTGAATTTCTCATGACATTCATCTTTCACTTTTTAAAATTGATTTCACTGGGATAAACTTATCGAATCATATCTTTAATCCTTAGTGTTTTCTATTATCGCTAATACTTCTTCTACTACCTCTACCACTATGGGTTTTTAATTGACAATTAAATGTCTGTGCTAATGTGTTATGACAACTTGAACCGATATACGTAGGTAAAACGTTCTACGTTATTGATCACTTACTTGTCTTATTCTTCAGCAGATTATTTTATTTGCTAAATAACTAAACAGTTGTACAACTCGAGTCAATGATATCGTTGAAAGGAAAATTTTCTTTGCTGAACTGTCATAATCCTTCTAGAATTGTACTATAGGTTACATTTGGTAAATGTATGGATGTGTGTATATAGTTATGCTGAATAATTTATCGAACTATGTATATTTCAGTTTCCAAGATTATACTTTTTTATAGTCCAACTACGTCTGATTTATTGTGAAAATATTTTTTACAAAGGAATTTGGAAACTATAGTCACTTTTTATCCTCGATGATTGATTTATTTTTATTTTTCAAGCATACATAATATAATTATCTATTGGAGAATGTAACTTGTAAAATGGTTTTAAAGTTGTTGTTAACTATATATTGATAAGTTCGCTAAATGAACGCAAGATCTTACTTCCTATCCACTTCTAATAACACCAGGCTAAATCCATACAGCCGTTTGAATACAAGAAAAAAGTCACGAAGTAGGAAAAGAAAGCTTTTTACTTCAAAGCTAGTTTATATACGGAAACAGAATGATCTTCTGCAAGGTTCGAGAACGATACTAAATATGGCAGAGGAATGGCTAAATATCCAGTCAGAATTGTGACACGTAGTTCTGCATTCTCATGCTGTCTCTGCAAAGGTTCTATTAATTGGATGAAACGTTTTCTGGCATTTCTGAGCCTTTACAGACTTTTTTTAGGGATGTTTCGGGGCTCCCCAACATTTTTACACACGACTATTATTGTAATATTGATTGTGACTGTAAAATGCATAATCTTATAAGCGTGCAGTTCATAGTTTGTGATTTTAAGGACCATTAGAAGAATGTAACGTGATTTAGTGACAGAAATCTTAATTTCTTTTGAAAATGCTGCATTCATATATCATTTCTAAGCACTGTTTCTTGTGGGGAAAAAATCAACCTCAGTTGACGAAGCCATATATCGTGAGATTGAGCCATGTAAGTTAAGGCAGATCATTTGATTGCAATCCTTACAATAAACGTAACAAATAATTGGAGATGTCTGATTATATAACTCAACAGTGGTTTCACTGGCGCAGACGTTTTTATTCCTAATCTTTCTTTATATCAACAATTGTGAAAGATTTTATACCTATTTTTAATTCTGAGAACCCATTCTTTCTTCTACAATCGCATATTATGCATCCTTAATGTTTTCTACTATCAATCATACTGTCACTAATTCTACTTAAAATTGTCTTGATAATCTTATTTCTGTGTGTTAATTTGATGTGTAGTAAGGTTACTGACGACATGTGCCAGATTTTATGTATAGTTTTCATGATTGATTGACTGACTAGGCAATGTTTAGGGAAATTCAATTAAATTAATTTTCTCAAACGCTCCCCTAATTTTATGATTATGCTAATCAAATAAATTTTGTTATATGTATTTATAAATCTGACTTGTGTTTTTGATCATAGAATATTGTTTTTCTGTAAATTCATCAAACTTACTTACTCCCGTTACCCCTAATGGAACATAAGTCGCCGACCAGCCTTCTCCAACCAACTCTCTCTCTCCGCCTTCCTTTCCAGTTCTGTCCAATTTTTGTTCATTCTTCTCAAGTCTGTCTCCACTTCTCAACGAATTGTGCTTTCCGGTCTTCCTCTTTTGCTTTGGCCTTGAGGATTCCAGGTGAAGGCTTGTCTCGTAACGCAGTTGGGTGCTCTCCGTAATGTGTGCCATATCCACTTCTAGCGCTTCTTCCTGATTTCTTCCTTCGCTAGAATCTGGTTTGTCCTCTCCCAGAGTAGGTTGTTGCTGATAGTGTCCAGTTAACGGATTTAGTGTAGACAACTATTGATAAACGCTTGTATCTTCTGGATGATGGATTTCATAATTCTACAAGTTTCCTTCCCATACAGTAGATCTGTCTTGACATTTGTATTGTGAATTGTGATTTTGGTGTTGGTTGATAGTTGTTTTTAGTTCCAGATGTTCTTCAATTTTAGAAATGCTGAATTCATCATAGATAATCCTCAAACGATATCCATCTTTTATCAGTATTGGAAGACTGGTTACCTTTCAATAATCATATGAATATATATATACCTGTTGTAAAGTCCACTACATTTTTGAATAGTATCTAAATCTAATGAAGTGATAATCATTGCATTTAATCAATCTAAATGTATTCTTTAAAGCTATCATCATGTGATGGAATGATTTGTATGTGAAAATTTTAGAGTACAAAGCTTCCTACAAATTCAAGCTTATTTATACTGAAACATAAATGCATTTAATCGCTATTGACTATGTCATCTAAATGTGAATCGATTAAATTACCTGTGTACAGTTGTAGTTTACTCTAGTACAGTTTATCATAGGTAATTAAATCGTAAGGTTGACGGTGTACAAAGAAGTTGTTTTGATTGTTGGTAATCATCACTCAATCTATTTTATACCCCTTATAGTTTGATTCTCGTAGCTAGTTTTGCTCTTGCAGTGAAACAGCAGATTGAAAAATTTATTTTTGTCTATGTAACATTGTAACAGCTGGCAGCTGATATTAAAGTTCATCTTAGCTATCAGTATAATAAATTGTTCGACTAAACATACCTTTTTTCTAACAGCCGAACCATTTACTTCAAGTGGTGTGCGCCAGGGATGTCCACTTTCCACATTCTTGTTTAATTTTGTCATAGACATGCTCCTAGATATAACCTTATCGTCGTCTGACTTTTCAGGAGTCGACTTTCTACCAGGAAAATCGCTTGCTGACCAAGAATAGGCCGATGAAATAGTTCTATTCGGTGAAGACGCTGACAAAATACAGTCTTCTGACTACTCTAAACAACAATGCAAGCATGTTCGGGATGCGGTTTTCCTCCTCGAAATGCAAAATGTTGCTTCAGGATTGCCTTTATCGGCACCTGAACTAGTGATAGGTAGTGAAGTAGTCGAACGTGTAGACCGCTTCACGTATATGAGGAGTCTTATCTGTTCTGATGGCCTGGTGACTGACGAAATCTCAGCTTGGATACAGAAGGCTCGATTAGCTTTTGCCAACTTGCATCACCCATGGCGCAGGCGAGATATCCGCTTGCTAACGAAAGGACGAGTGTACTGTGCAGAATTTCTCTCCGTCCTACTATACGGATGCGAAACATGGCCGTTAAGATTAGAGGACTTCCGTAGGTTACTAGTCTCCGAAGCATTCCTTGTGTATCATGGGACAACCGTATAAGCAAATCTGTCTTTAGGAAACGAGTTCTAGGTAGGGATGGCAAACCAATAGATGAAGTGGTGAAACTTCATCAGTTGAGGTGGTTGGGACATGTGTTGCTTATGCCTGACCACCAACTACTGCGACGAGCTATGTGTTTTGGTGTAGGAGTAGGTTGGACGAAAGTTAGGGGCGGCCAGACCAAAACCTGGCTATCACTCTTGGATTTGAATTGACAGTTGCTTCTCTGTGTTGATTTGGTATGGAAACCTGAACTGATGTACTTACGAAGTTCTGCGTTGTATCTGTCTGTCTTTCAAAAAGAGTTTAGTTTATCTCATTTTTTTAACCCATCTGTTTAGTTCATTCTATTTTCCAAGCCAATTAACACGGACTACTTGGCTTGCAAAGAAGAAACATCTTCTTTAATAATGCAATGTTGCCGAAAAATGAACTAAATCAACTTTCTATAGTGGCATTTTGATCAAAGAACCAATTAGATTCTTTAAAAAATTACTTCTCATTGATACAATCCTAACACTTGAAACTAACTATTGTAACAGTTTTCTCAACGGGTTTATGGTTAGTGTATACGAAAACCAGCAAAGCGTTACTTTTCATCTTGATGATTACAAGATACTCACTGACTAAATGAACGAGAAATTGTGCTTTTTTTAAACATTGAAGAAACGATCCCTATTCTCACACTTTTTGTGTATTTTGTCGAAAGTTATCTCATCCTAGTGAACCTCAGTCTTCTCTCTTGTGTATCAGGTTAAGTATGTGTATTTCAGACGCTTTCTTGTAACTGTATATAAATAGAATTTCATCCCAATCGCCAATTATGTTACGTTCAATGGTTGTCCAATTCAGCTACAGATATGTCCGCTTCCTGTACGCTGGTTTGACACACTACTCTAACGAGAAGTCTAGGAATGATGCGGCAGCTGAAATTTAAATAAATCATCTGGTTCACAACCATTTTGATCTACATATGAATATCCTCATTACATCCTAATAATGAAAACTTTTCTATGATTTATAGTTATAATAGCGTTATATTGTAACTATTTCTTTTTGATTAGGACAACATTATACTCTCCAGACCTTTTATTCACTCGAACTAATCAGACAACAGCAACTGCAACAATAAAACCAATAAAGTCATCATCACCAACAGTTACAAGTTCAATGAATAAAACTTCTAGAGAACCATATTTCACTAGATCTGTTCGTGCTCAAGCAATACATAATTCCATCACAGATTTATCTGATCTATTAATTGGATCACAATTATCTGATTATTCAAATAATGATAACAGTTTTAGTAGTTGTGTAACTTATGATCCTTGTCAAAACTGTAATACATCGTCAGTTAGTTATTGCACCAATTCATCACCATCGTCATTATTGAATGAATTGACAATGTCAAATAATAGTCCAACACGTTCATCATTTACTTCACTTCCGACAAAATTTCATTATCGTCATTCAAATACAACAACAAATAATGATCAAAATCATATTAATGTAAGTTTTTTTTTGGTTTTTTTTTTTTCGTTTAAAATTCTAGTTATTTTTTGATATACTATGTTATACTATTTATTATATTATTAAATAATACAATGAAATGTCCTAGTTAAAATTGTGATAGGAAACAGTGTGTACAAACATTTGTTCACTGCCTGTTTGTTTTTTTCTCTGTCTTTATTTATGGATATTCACCAGTATTATATCAACGAAGAGAATTATGCTTTCATTCGCTTAAGCTGTACAATCTAGTTTGTTGTTTAATTTGACATTTATATGTTTGTATTTTTCAACAACAACATTAGAATGGTTGATATTAGCAAATGAGGACATCGCTATTGACTTAATTTTATCAGAGGGAGATGAAAAGTTGTAATAATGTGTAAGGTGTGTGTGTGAGTATCAAACTCAGTCACCATTCCATGAATGTTATTCCGAAATGAGGTTACATCGTGATTTTACGTATAAAGAATCAAAGTAATTAGTATTTTAGTAATGGCAAATTATTGATACCATGAAAGAAACAAGAAAAGGATGATGATGGTTGATTATCGAACATAAATAATTGGAAAAAATAGATTAAGACCATAGTGGAAATAGAGATTAAACATCTTGTTGTAGTGAAGGAGAACACCGGTGAGGGCAACCGAATTGTATTTAACGAAAATTACAGAGTTACTCAGCAGAATAGGAAAACCATATCGTAAACGGTTAATTTGCAAAACATCAATTCATTGTCTGACATTTCACTGTTCATGCGTTTTCCCACTCTTCCTTTCTTGATCTTCCCCCATCGTCTGCTGCCAGACATTACGTTTTCACTCACGTCATATACTACTTGTAAGTGTCGCGCACCACACTCGTTCCTCCCTTTAATAAGCTGTCGTCCTAGTCCTTCTGATCACCGTACCGCTGTCTTCTTTGGTGCTTTCCGTGACTCACACGCTTGATAATCTTGAAACCACCTCTGCAGTTGACTGGCATTTACACGCTTCTCATTGTCTTCTTGCGATCGCTATCTTTTATAGGTAGTTGCCAATAACCTGACCATAAATCCAGCACTGTAAACACCGTGGCATTCTGTAATCGATCTAATGTTTCTACTACTGTTGGCATTGCGCACGGTTTCAGGTCTGTTATATTATTCAGTTCTCTAAAGTCGACGCAAAATCTATACTTTCCATTGGGTTTCTTTACCAAGAGTACCGGTGAGCTATACGGGCTGTCCGCTTCCTCAATTATACCTTCCCTCAACATTTCCTGGACCTGTCGATTTACCTCGGCCTCTAAATGCACCGAGACACTACGTGTTGCGAATATATTTACTCAATCGTTCTTTATAGGAATTTCATGCTTTACTTTGTCACAAAATCCATACGGCTCCCCATCTCCAGTGAACAATTTCGCATACTTTGCGCATAACTCGTTAATGTTTGGTTTCTTCGTCGAGACGTCCGTTGTCACTCTTATTTCAGCCACTTCGCTCCTTTCGTGTATTGGCAATGAACCATACTTTGTGACCATTTTACCGCTTCTTAAGTCAATTATCGCTTTTACCTCTCTTAGGAAATCTGCTCCTAATATCGGTCTCGATAAGCTTGTGGTTACCACGAACGGAAAATTTATCTCAGCTCCACTCATTTTTACAATACTGTTAGATACCCCCAACACCTCTAGCATATGCCCTCCTATGGTGTGGACAGCTAATGTACATGGTTTGATTGTCTTACATTGCTCTTTGCCTATTAACGATATAGCTGCCCCTGTATCGATCAAACACACTAACTCCTGTTCATTTATGTACACTCTGGCATAAATTGCCCCTCTATCTACTAGTGCAAGGACCTCCCGATTCCTAGGGTGGAAAGAACACACGTTATAATGTTTAAAATATCTTCGTCGTCGTCTTCTTGGACAGTTTATCTTCCAATGTTCTGCCTCCCCACAAGCGTAACATTTATCGTTCCTTTTATGATTTACTCGTAATGCTGCTATCTCACGCTCTAACCCATCTTCTCGAAAGTATTTATCTCCTGCTTTTCGCACCCGACCGGAGCTACTGTTCGTGTCATCAGCTGACGAGTCACCTTCTCCAGTCCACCGATATCCATAGGTCGCGCTGCGTTTACTAGTCTCAGCTGCTGGGACAAGGCGGCAGGCACACTCTCGACAAACTGCGACGTCAACAACTGTGCCTCCGACTCCTCATTGATCTCGGCAGAGCACGGCGCAACAATCTGGTGAGCTCCACAGCAAGCACCATTGGGTCACTATCAGCGAAAGCCGCGCCAACCGGAACTCCTGCAGCGCTTTCTCCCTGTCCACTGGGCTGTCAAACTCTGTCATCAGCTCCCCGTGACCATCTCCCACGTCGTCTCCCCGCCAGCACCGTCCAAGCTGTCGTTTACGGCCTTTGCCCTACCTGTCAGCAGCGTCCCCAGTACCACCAACTTCGCCTTCGGCTCCTTCTCGCCCACCAGCTCCGCCACGACCTCAAACTCCTTCGGCTATGTAACCTTCATCCTTTGTGTAGGTAGTGACACCAAATGTAGTGGAAGAGAACACCGGTGAGGGCAACCGAATTGTATTTAACGAAAATTACACAGTTACTCAGTAAAATAGGAAAACCATATCGTAAACGGTTAATTTGCGAAACATCAATCCATCATCAATTCATTGTCTGACATTTCACCGTTCATGCGTTTTCCCACTCTTCCTTTCTTGATCTTCCCCCATCGTCTGCTGCCAGACATTACGTTTTCACTCGCGTCATATACTACTTGTAAGTGTCGCGCACCATAATCTTACGTTTGTCCACACATATTCAGTTTCAACTTGTAGATTACTAAAGCCTCTGAAGCACATAGGATTTTATTCTTTATTCTTATCACACGAAATTATTTGACTTAATGGATGACGTTGAAAAAAGTCTTTGACGAAACAACAAGACCAGAATTTATGAGATGTTCCAGAGTTAAATTATCGTATGGTACCGTTAATCATTTCGAAAGCCAAACTTAGTAATGCTCAGTAGTGATATTTTTCTAAAGAGCTCACATTTTCTGGCAAACGGATATCTCTTCAAGCAACCAAGTCAACAGAACAACTTAGAATCGAATAATAAATCTGTTTAATTGAAATAGTGAGCTTGGATGAATCTTCAGTTGTAAATATATTTAGTATACAAGTCCTCAATAAAGTCAATTTACTTCGGTAATTTGTTTGTCATTTGTACATGCGTATCAAGAAAGACAAGTACAATAGCATTGACATACAGCTAAAACAAAACAATAAATCATTTCTGGTATCATTACCAAGGTTTGACTCAATCATTTCAAATAATTTGAGGATCGGTTGGATTGTTTATCATAAAAATAATATATTTTCAGTATCCCAGTGTGTACAGTATGGGCTGATTGTAAACTTTTTTTTCAACATTTCAGTAATTATCACTGAAACAATATCACACTGTTCATATGTGATTCCTTATGGTAAGATATAGGAATTTGATATCATCTCCATATCATACACTAAAACCAACTAGCATATGCATAGAAGTTTTATTCTAGTTATATTTTAATTATTTACTAATGTTTTTTTTTTCATTGTAAAGAAGACAGTTTTTCCTACTGTTATTTAGTTTGGTTGTTGTTGAAGATATTAGTTCGATTCGAAAATCGTTTTCGTTTAAAAACTGAAATCAGCGAAAGAATTATCGAGAGCCAAGAAACTAGTAGACAAGTGTTTATTTCTTAGTTTGGTACAATTCAAACACATTTCGATAAATACCTTTAGATTAGTACTGATATATTTGGAATAATATTATTAAGTGTCTATATTTTTATATAGTAAAATCAATAATCAAAAGGTATAATAAATGTTATTATTTCCCCCAAAATATGCTGATCATACAGACAATGCACCACTTCGTATTATAGTTAGGTTGTGTTTGTGTCTGGTTGATCTCAGTTGACACACCATCGAAAACCATGGAGCACTTGAAAGTTGGTATAGAATCCCCCAGCAATGCAGACCCACGAGCCTATAAAGTGTTGTGTCAAGGTGGGACGGGTATTCAATGTTCCCTGGTTTTCAGTGCGACTTCCGCTGAAATCAGTCTGTGAATACTAGATACAAATTATAAAAATATATCCAGAACCCCTACAACTAGATCTCAGATTATCTTTAGAAGAGTCGTATTCTATTTATTACATCATACTATGATAAACAGTTGACAAAACAATTTCCTTGAAACTCAAACTGTTATATGTTGTTTTAACTTCGATACAGTTTACAGAGTAGGAATTACTTTTTTGCAGTTTGTTTGTCTGTGCTAATCTGACGTCGTTATAGCTGATGATCATTCGAAATTTAAACCCATTTTTTTCTCTATACTCAATGATTTTGTGTTATCACTACTATATTATATTTTTTAATTAATAGTACCATAAAGCTTTGTTAATAGGTTGAATTCTTAAGTCCTAATCTTCCGAATTCCTCATCACCTTTATCCTTCTCTCCTTTTAAATATATTTCATTGGAACATACTTCTTGAATAATTCCTTCGAACCCTAATCTTCTCCATTACCGCTACTACATCTACTACTATGGGATTTGAATTGACAATTCGATCTCTTTCTGCTAATGTAGTATGAAAACTGGAACTGATGTACTTAGCTGACCGGCTGACTGATTGGATAGGTTGAATAGCTTAGAACAAAATCTTTACAATATGACGTGTAAAATCAACCAGAGCAACATCCGAAACTCAAGAGCATACTGTTGGTTGATTTAACACTTCATATGGATAGTTTTGCCAGTACCTAGCCATTTCAAAGGTGATTGAGATTAAAAGTGTGAATTCTGACAGTAGTCTAATGATCTATTCATACTCTGAATTCTCTAGATTCTATATTTAAATGCTATAAATGTGTGGCGAGAGATGGATTATGGATGCTCACTTCAAGGTAATCCAAAAGTAAAACTGAACGATTGTTGAGTACTATTCGGTTCTGTACAGACACGAATTCGTTGCATGACTGAAATTGCTATATTTATATTCAATAATTAAATGAGAAATTTCAAAAAAAAACAATTATTTCAGGCCTTTTTTCTACTCTTTTCACACAATATGGTCGTCATCTTAGTCTTATATTAGAAACTTTTGCCTTCTCACGTCTTTGTGTTTACCTTTGATATGTCCATTCTTATAAAACAGCTGTCAATTACTCATCTCTTTTAAATGCACATGATATGTTAATAAATAATAATAATAATAATAATAATAATAATAATAATAATAATAATAATAATAATAATAATTGTTATGTTGATCATAACAGCAATTATATAAAATAACATTTTGTTTATTTAATTTCGCACTCACATGATTTTACCCTAGGAATATATTAGTCTATTACAACCGTCGTAGCGCCATATGGCTTATTTTGTCATGAATTTAAGGTTTAACGTTACATGAAGTTCAGTATTTCCAATTCACAATACTGAATAACATAATTATAACTTTTACACGTATCCACTAATACAGTATCAACCATTGTCACACACTATGACTGCCTTTTCAGCACTTGGAACTTGGAGGCCAAGTTCCTGAAAATAATTTTACGGTAATCGTTACACTTTGTGCTAAACGATTATTGTATATCATGAGTTATTTTGTTGTTGAAATTACAAAGCTTTAAACACTAATTATTCATTGACAAAAAATGCTTAAAAAAAACAAGACGATTGACTTTATTTTTACGATTTCTATATATTTTGAATGGTTTTTATCAAAATAGTTAAACAAACTGTGTGTCTATATTATGAGATATGCACGGCAAAATCTATTGTTTTTGCTATAAAGTTATTTGGAATTTTATAGTTTGCATGACAGATTAATCTTAGTTAGACGAACAATGGAAATCAGAAAGCATCAGGCAGCTATTTTGTCCTCATAAGGGGGACTAAGCGCGCTCACTGCTGAGGACTCCCATACTCAGACACAGCATTTGCCTAATGTTCTAACAATTTCTGCAAATTCTTGTTAACTGGAATTGTTGAATGGGTCATTGTTAGTTCAATTAATGTATATATAATGTGTATGTAAAATGGGATTATTTGTAACATTCCACAAATTTTTGTAAGAGTCTTATTAACTTTTTATAGGATTGTTTACTGTAATCGTTTGTGTGTGTGTGTGTGTATCTGCCACAGCTATAGGTAATAATTTTATGTGAACAAGCGGGACTATTAGTGAGATTGATGTTTGTGAAAAACTAGAAAATTACATTGAATATTTTTCTCCATGTACAAACTAGGAATTAAACTTATACTATCGCTACTACTACTTCTACCACTACAACCATTGATAAACTATGGAGTTTAGGCATGAAACAACCTAGTTAGTGTTGTTTTAAGCATTTTAGCCGCTATCTATGTCATCAGTATCATTTAGACAAATTCAATGTCATAATTCTCATTACTTTTATAACTTAACTACTCTTGACAGTATAATATTCATTATGATAATCATTAGCGCATGATCAACTAGTTCAAGTATACTAATAAGTAGAAAAGATATTTAATAATCCAAGAAATGAATATTTCATCATTAGTTTATAATCAATGATAATTTTTTTCATCACATATTCCTCTATTGAACAACTACACATGTGGGTCTCATGGAAAATTTATTGCTAAATCTGTAACCTATTTTGTTTGATAATCGTATATATTTCTCTTCCTTCGTTAATTATTTATCTTTTCGTCCTTACTAATTATATTTTTTTTTCTAGATTATAAAACATAAACGTATTCGTATGCGATGATAGGGAGAGAGAGAGAGAGAGAGAGAAGCACACATATCCTCATATTGTGTGTGTGCGTGTGTGTATTTTCATGTATGTATAACTAATTTGTTCAATTAGTTGATATGTAAATACATTAATTATAAGATCGGAAAAATGAAATAAATTTGACCAGTTGACATTACAAAAGTATGTAAAGATATCATGTTGTGTTTTTGGGTTACCGTTTGTACACTTGTTGATTAATTTCTGCATCTATGCATGTGGTTGCACAGATTGCATGATTTTTGTGTACCTCATTTTAGCCATCAATATAGTTATCGTTGTCTCCGTTATCCTTATTGATCTTGTGATCACCTAAAACCATCTTACATCCCACTGTAAATGTCACATTAATGTTGTGTAAAATGCACGTGTTCATTGGCACTACTAGTATTATTATGCGAGGCTTGTCACCTTGCTTTTCCAATGTCGATTTTTATTGAAGAAATTATTTATTATCAAGGGAGCAATAACTTCAGTATGTCTTTAGGTTCTAAGTCATCAGAAACACGATCACCAGGAATGGGTCACTGTTGACACATTGGATAAGAATCAAGAAGGGAGGAGCTAGAAGGCAGCAGTCAATATCAGCTGAACTAAAGCAGAGAACGCAAAAGCACAAGCTGAATACACAGAAGAAAACGAGAAAGTGAAAAGGAGCATCAAAATCAACAAACGTAGGAAATGCAAGACAACTATAAGATATAATGGTGAAGCTAGCTGGAAAATACGGTAAACTAGAGTGACATTCAAAAACAACGAAAACAAACCAATGACTGAAATCCAAGAACAGTTAGGTAGAGCCCTTTGAAGAACCCTTGAGTAGATCCGCCTCATTGAACCCACCAGAGCAGCACCTATAACCCTTCCTATAGATCCTATCCACGAAAAGTCGAATAAATCAGCATGAGCATCAGATAAATCAAAAGTGATAAAGCAGCGGGACAAGACAATATACCAGCTGAAGAATTAAAGACAGATACAAAATTAACTGCAAACATGCTATACGCTCTCTTCAGCAAGGTTTGAGAGAAATAACAAATGTGACCAGACTGGATAGAAGGACACCTCATCAATATATTAAAGAAGGACAATCTCAGTAAGTGTGAGAACTACAGAAGCATCACTATACTCTCATTACCAATAAAAATTTTCAACAGTGTTTTTAAACTGAATGAAGGATTCAGTGGACGCCCGATCTTGAGATCAGCAGGATGTATTCCGTAAAGATCGATCGTGTACCGACCAAATCGCAACACTACAAATCATTCTGAAACAATCGATTGGGTGGAATCCATCACTTTACACCAACTTCCTTGAATACGAGAAGGCACTTGATAGCGTGGAAGCTTCTGCGTCACTCCGGCATGCCTGAGAAGATAATTAACATCATACGGAACTCTTATGATGGACTCAAGTGAAAAATTGCACTTGGAGGACTGCTCACCGGCTCGCTCCAAGTGAAGACCGGTGCCAGGCAAGGTTTCTTATTCTCATCCTTCCTCTTTCTTTTGGTGGTTGACTGGACTATGAAAACCTCAACATCTGAGGGAAAGAAAGGGATACAGTGGATAGCTAGGGTACAGATAGACGATTTGAACTCTGAAGACCACCTAGCTCTTCTAATCCACACACAGCAACAAGTGCAGATAAAAACGGCCAGTGTACCAGCAGCTTCTGCAGCAGTAGTTTTCAACTTGCACTAGCGGAAAAACACGATCATTAGATGCAACACAAAATGCACCAGCCAAGTCACACTTGACGCAGAAGCTTTGAAAATTGTGGAAACGTTTACGTACTACGGCAGCATCATCTATCAAAAGAGTGGATCTGATGCGGATGTGAAGACACGGATCGGTAAAGCAAAAGCTACATTCTACAAACGATGAACATCTGAAATCCGCCAACATTAAAGTCATGATTTTCAATACAAATGTCAAGACAATTTTACTGTATGGGGCAGAAACGTGCAGAACTATGAAGGTCATCATCCAGAAGATACAAGTGTTGATTAATAGTTGTCTACACAGAATACTTCGGATCCGTTGACCAAACACTCTCAACAACAGCCTACTGTGGGAGACAACAAACCAGATTCCAGCTGAGGACAATATTAAGAAGAAACGTTAAACGTGGATAAGAAACACATTACAGAAACCACCCAGCTGCATTCCAAGGAAAGCCCTAACTTTAAATCTACAAGGTCAAGGGAAAGGAGGAAGAACAAAGAACATATTTCACCGAGAATCATAGGCAGGCAAGTGAAGAATAAATAACACTCTGGAACAACTGCGAAGGAGATCCCGAGACAGAATTACTCGGAGAACGCTGCTCGGCGATCTATGCTCCACGTGGGGTAGCATGCGTAAGTAAAAGTAAGTTAGGTCCTCACTAGCTATTCACAATATATATATACTTAAATTTACCTAGAACAGATTATATACCATAGTTGAGTATTTGAACAAAATAACTACATCATTATGCTTCAAGCAAACAACAACAAAACTATTAGTCATAAAAATGAATGCTGTTATGTAAGTAGTCACTAGTGAGCTAACGGTGAAGTAAATTTTAATTTGAGTAAGGTTACTGTTTTGCCGTAGATCTCTACACATTCTCTATACTGAAGTATTCTTTTATGATGCTTTAAATTATTTTGATTGCCAGCTTACCAGTTGTATGTTTGATGCGTAGCAGTGAAAAGTTATATGCTGGAAATTGACATCATAAATTGATGGTTAAACAACCATTCAAAACCAGGAAAAATTTTATAACTATTTCAGCTGCATGCTTCTTTGTATTTTCCATTTCCTCTCTATCCGTGTTGTGATATTATGTTAGATTTTTAAATACGTAATAAGTATTATTTCATACAAGATTTATCCATTCTATGAACAGTACGCTTCTTAATTTCTACTTGATCTATAATCTTTACAAAGTAATCAATCTACTTTTTTATTGCACTACATAGTAGTCATTATGTGCATGATTTATTTCAACCTTTTTGTTTTTGATAATAAAAAAAATAACCTAGCTCATTTACACCTTTCAGACCTACATACTTGGCTTATGAAACGTGATCTTTTAAAATAGAGGATATTTTCAAGTTAACTCAACCTGATCATAAGTGTTTTCGAAGTATTTGTATTTGCATATCTTGAAACTACCGAGTAACCAGTTACGCAGTTAAATGCAGTCTGTGATGAATCAGTTGATGAGGTTGTGAACCTTCATGGAATGAAGTGATTAGGACCTGTTTTACTTATGCTTGACTATCGCATTCCTCGATGCATACTGTGTGCTGGTGTAAGTCGGAATAAAGCTAGGAACATTCTAAACAAAACTTGTTATCACTTCATGAACTGATTGATTGCTGAGCATGTTTATAGATTCATACTACCTAGTTGAGGTTCATGCGGTTATCTAAATCAACGGTTGCAGGCTCAAACTGATCTGGCTCAGAATTAATCGCTATGAGCCTGAGGTATATTTACTCACTGTTTTCTCTTAGATCGTACGTTTGAAAATCATGAGTACGACTTGTTATTAAAATTCATTCCCTTCCTAATAATTTTGTCCATATCTAGTTCCGTGTACTGTAAGGGGTACCACTACTACTCTTATTAATCTGTCTCCACCATTTCATTTCGCTATGCTGGTATGGTTTTTCAGCTTGAACAGATGCATACGTACCAGGTCCCACTTATCTTGTGACTGATTCATTGATTGACGATATACTCGGTTGTAACGTTTTTTATTTATTCCACACGAAATTTAGATAATACTGCTACGTAAGTACCCAGAATGAAACGCAAGCTAGGCGACGTTTTGATTTAAAACATACTGATTGTAAATATACGAGTTTTATCCCCTGGATCACACAAGATCCTTCGATTCGTTCACGATGAATGTGTCTAGATTGTCTATCCTTAAACAAAGCTATTGATAATAATTATAGATGAACTTGAACCTTGCATTCATTCAAAAACTTATTTTTAGAACACATTTATTATTTCGAAGATCGATTTTGTATCAGCTGATATTGTCAGTCTGTCATATAAACTACTTTTGCACTTCTGAAAAAATTTTCCTACAAACTATTTGTGATAATAATAGTAATTAGATCTTTAGGTGGTATTTAGAATAATTCATTCCCAGTGTTTATAAAAGTACTTTCACTGTTTATTTTGTTCTGTTTATTAATTATGAATAGTTTTAAGAAGAATCTATTGAGCTTTCACGTCGTAGATTTTTTGTTTGTTTTTAACAGTTTCCATAAAAATGTTTAGTAGTTAATCATCAAAGTTTCTTATCTCATGTTTACTTAGTTGGGACACTTATTTGTAATTGTTATGAGTAAAAACGTAAATCTCCCTTGGGTGCACAATTAAAACCAGGAAGCCGTGAACGATGGAGTTCAACCCTGTCGGGTGTAGGCAATAACTACTGAAGACAATGGGTAGTTGCGCAAAATCTTAGATTCATCAAAGTTAGACATTAACACCATTGGATGCCGGCTCAGTACTCTAGATAGTAGGCGTTCTCACGCGAGACCGAAGCCCCTGGGTTCGATTCCAGCAAGCGGTGGTCGTGGACAAGCATTGCTGAAGAGTCCCATACTAGGACGAGACGGCCGTTTACTGCCTGCAGGTTTCCAATAGTGATCTATCAATGATCGATTCATGGTTTCAATCAAAATATAAAGTCTAATCAGCATCTAGTAAGTGAACAGCTGATTGTCGCATGAAGTTGGATACAACAAGGTAACTCCCTAATGTAAACTGCAAACTTGAACATCAGCATTAAACCCTAATACTGATACCTACCACCCAGTTTACTAATTTTACAGAGCTTTATCGCACCTTATATTTTTTTGAATATAATAACGATACTCTAACCCATGTAGAAAAGAACGAATTAGTTTACTAATAGGATGATTCTATATTATAACTCATTATAATAAGATATATAGAAATTTAGGGAACATTTGATAGTCCAAGGTATTTATTTAAAAGACATTCTTCAACGATCGAAATAATCTAGTATTAACGTAGATTTGTACAAATCGTGACATACAACCATGATACACACACTTCCTATCCAACCAGCTGACCGTGTACAAATACTGAAAAAACTGCGAAGCGGAGAGTTTTTAAACCGAAAAACAATACATAAAACATTTAAATGTACATAAATCCTTTGAATCTAGCCAAGTACGTGTAAAATAGTGGATCTAGACAAGGAATATAGTCGATATTCTCCGATAGAGTTTTCAATTGACAATTCCTCACCAAACTTTGACCCTAAGTTAGCTTGTTAGCATCTGCACGTGGTATGCTCACATTCGCCTAATCTGTCGGTTCACTTAAATTAGATGTAACAATCTACCCGACAGTCACATTCTAAGATGTCTATCTACCTTATTTCGAATCACATTCGTTTTAAAGCAGTGTTTCTTCATTATTATTTAATTTGAACAAATACATGTTTATTATATAGCACTTAATTAAATGATTGCTTACTGGTTTTTCTCTTTAATTTTACTTTCATATACAATTCTCAACCTGGAAATTACAAACAATTTAATCCATAATAAGTATACACGTTCATCGTATGCATTTTATTAGTAAGACTAAAATACTCATAATATATACAACGTCAAACTGATCTTCAACTATGAAAAGAAAATGACAGAAGACAAAACCAATTCATTTGGATATGCAAAAAGTAGACAAGCACCTACGTTTCAACAGTTCTGAATTATCTTGCTAACTTTATTTTTAAAATGCTTTGGATTTAATTTGTTCCTTGTTTCTCATCATTTCCTTTAGTTATGCATTAGTTTACATTATAATCAGTATTATTATTGTTACACATTTCATTTGGTCATTGTGATAACATTACTGCCACAATTAAGTCTTTCATGTAAACAGAAACCTAAATATTCTTGTTTTTTAACTACATTACAAAAATCTATCGATATACTTGAGTCCCTACCTTTGGAATAACATTGCTTGCATCCCTTTGTTTTTATTATCTCAGAATAATTTGTGTTCTGTTCCTGTACTTCTTTCCGTGTGTAACGTGTATTGCTGGTATATACTTATTTCGTTCATTTTACTGGCCAGTTTGCTTTCCTATCATTTTCCATAATTTTCATTCAGATTACTAAATCTTGACGTATGTGGTTATACTGTAATTCATTTAAGACGTATTGTCATTACTTATTTTTTGAGACGCTTTCAAACTACTGATATCAGTACTCAGTAGGTGTAATGGTCTATGAAATTCTGAATAGATCTGTTCACTAGTGTAATAAATCTCTTCACATCAACTCCAGATTTTCTCACTTCCATTCATCTACATACAAATAAAACTAAATTTAGAATATATGCTGTTTTACAATACAACAATTTCAACTTGTTTTTGAAGGTGATATACATAAGATGCGTGATTAATATACGGCATTAATTCTGAATTTTACTCTCAGCAGAAAAAATGACTACGTCAATAAAGCCAGTTTCCTTGTCTATTCGCGTATGCATTCTGTGTTCAATATAGACATAAATACTTTTTGATATGAATAATTTTTATCTCTGATAATCCATTATATTTTGTCATACAAACTATTCAAATGAACTGATTACGTGAAAAGATAATTGGATAGTTAAGTGACGAACTAAAATAAGTCTAAAATAACGAAAAAGGCGATTGTTTAGTAGCTTGCGACTGTTATTTCATACCATCAACTTGTTTCTCGATCGACCCCAATACTTTCACACTTCCCAGTAACTCCATAGTTACTTGTTAGTTAATTAGTCACATTCTACTTGTTTATTTAAACTACCGCCCGGTTATAAAAGCAGGTCAAAAAACAGGACTGGTCGGCGTGTTTAAATATTATTTGAGTAATAATTCTCCTGATAAGCTTTCATATTAGGAAAACTTTTGAACGTTCCACAACTGTCTCAGGTAAACTTTCTTTCAAAACCCTCGCAATCGTAGCCGAACACAAAACTGTTCATATATGAGGCTAAAACCGGGTACTAGCTACAGGCAAAAAAATGCAATTTACTCGCTAGCTGCCACAACCTACCTTACCAAAAGCCACTAGCTATCTACTAAAGGAAATAAACGAATAACGCATTTTCTATTTAGCCAAGCTTGTTTGAAATATAAGATGTGAATCAAAGAAAAATGAATTTTTAAATGTCTCAAAAAAGTAGAAACAAATATACGAAATTGATCAGTGGTTCCTGACCACTCCTTCACATGGCTATTCATTTAAGCTATCACCCAGTTATTATTTTGTTCTCTAGCCTGATTCAGTAACTGTACACCAATCCCAATAAGTGAATGACAAGACCGAAATAATTCAGGTTTGACTGTCCAATATAAGCACACAAAGGATGAACACTAAAAGCCCACAAAACTAGGTACTGAAACAGCTTATTGGATGAGACTTTCGGTTTCCAACCAGTGAGTTACAATTTCAAAAGTCACTCTACCAACCTGTTTACCCAGCTTCTCAAACAGTTTTCATCGTAATCCATGTCAACTGTAGACAAAGTTTAATATCAAAGACCATTTCCAAACTAAAGAAAATCTTCCTGTAACATTAGAAACAATTAGCCCATATGGTAAACATCGACCAAAGTCAGAATTACTATTTTATCAACTCTCGGGTAAATCAAACTTATTGATTTCAAATTATTCTCTTCATTTATGGTAATATATTTACGTCATCATACGGAAGTCCTTGAAAGTCAAACCTTTCAGCTACACTATTGTTTGACATTTCATCTTCTGGCAGGATCGTTTTACACTCTTTGAACAAAACGATAATACAAGGGTCCAAATCTTATTGGTAGGGAAAGTAATCGAAATGACGACCTCAAAATTATGAGGAATCCGAGCTTAACGCATAACGAGGTCACATTTGAGAACACGTGATAAGCGTTTATAAAACATATTTTCATCAGTCGTTGGAAGAAAAAGAAGACAAATTTTTAGGTAAACGTACAAGTATATGATGATAAGTATTTTTATTAATTTATGTCATATATAGATTGTGGTTGTCTCTGAGAAATCTGTAATCTCCAATGTTTATTGTCGTATAAGCATAAGCATACAAAAGTGAATCATGTAAAAAAATAAACGAAAACAATTTAAACACGGGACAGTAATTGTGACTAACCAAAACAACGAACAAAGGTAATGAGAAGGAATAAGTGAGTCGAATAAATAGGTTGTAAAAACGAAGATTTTAAAAGAATAATATGTACATTTATATACAGGATGAATATGTACAAGTATTGACGAACAAAGAACTGTATTTTCGAATATCTGGAAAAAATTTCGAACAAAAAAAGCAAAGAATATGATAACATTCATAGGTTAAGATCACAATAAAACTATATAAATGTAAAAAAATACCAAGCCCTAGTTTACTGTTTTCATGGGACTTTTAAATTTTTATCAGAGTGTATCGAAATAACAGATCGAATGACTATTCCTGAGATTATGAACAGGTTAGACAACCACTGAAAACTAGAAAGCACTGAATAGCTGCAGTTCAAATCAATAAACTCATCTGAGATTGAACCTAAGATCACCAGTTTTTGCAACGAGTGCTTAGCCTTTAGACAACTGAGCCGACACCAGAAGTGATCTACATGTTTGACTTCAATCAATCCACATTCAGTGACCTTGATAACGTGATCTAATCTAGTAGTCTGATAATCTCATACCTTGTATCGTCCTTTAATGTGCCCAGGTGAGATTACCTTGTAATTAGTAAAGACAACTTTATGCTTATAACGGTGGGTGTTCAGACAACCATCTTGTATTCTACAATGTAATCAATTTTGATTTCTCATTTTGTCAGTAACTTATGCTTCACATCATGAAAGTTTTTGGTAAAAACTTTTAATATGAGCTATTCATTGATCACATCTCATCAAGTGATGCACTCTTAAGTATTTTGAAAACGCATTCTTTTCCTGCATGACAATATAATCAAGACTAAATCGGCGTGCACTCTGTAATTATTTTCTGAATATAAATATATATAAATTTATATATCGTAAAATTAATGGATTCAAAGTAAAAACTAACATTACCATAAATCGGTCGTTGATGTGCTGGACACGTATTCATAGCTCAACAGCTCATCAACAGATGCTCTCTCTAAATGATTTCGAACTAAACTCCGCTCTAATGCCTTCAACGAATAGAAAGAGAAAAATGATAAATTGATTTGTACTTAATTAAATACAATATTCATCATTAATCGACTTTAGTGGAATGGCCACTAAATTAGAAGTCCGCACAACCTGCAAGCTTTAGTTCGATATTTTGTGAGTGCTCACTGTTTAAACTACTGCGATACACACACTCAATGCTCTCTGATTTTCAATAGTTTTCAAGCTGACAACAGTTTGTAACGGATATCACATTCAAATTGTGTACAAAGAAAAATCTACACATAGTTATCAAACTTGATTATATTTGACATAGTTTGTAATTAAGGTTGCTGGTATTCAAGTTGGTGGATGTTTCAAACTTCCTGGTATTCACAGAATATTCAACTATGATAAACAATATCACTACTGATTTATGGTTCACTTATGAGGTTGAATCGCAAATGACATCGATATTAATATACTGAAAAGGATATTCAACAGGGCGACGCAAATGATGATCGGTGCATACGAAGCCATGCATTAAAGCGAACACTCATTGTGTGGCTAAAGTTAAGTGATGGATATAATAATTTTAAAAACCCACACAATTTATGTGTTGCCTAATGAACAAATTATTAGAATGTTACATATTCAGGATTGATTTTGGCAGTGATAGGCACATAATATATCCAATAAATTTATTGTCGATAGTAAGTTTATCATCAAATTAAACTGTTAACACTGCGATAGCATACAATACAGAATTCAATTTAAAAACACCACTAATTAGTACTAATAACATTAAGCTCTTTTTATTATTGGTTGTTGAAATTAGGAGTCATGTTGAATCGTCTACGTTTTCCTTATGTTTACTATTCTGTAATCTATCAACATAGCTAATGTTACAATTCTATCTTATTAGAACCCAGCTACTTCTATTGCTTAGTATTGTCGGACACCAATCCACTCAACAAGTCCCCAAATCAGAACACGGTTGAACAGGGAAGAGAATATATCCCCAATAGCCAGGTTAAATGGAAGTAAGAAGCCGAAGCGAAGGCGAAACGTTAGTATTTTTATAGTTTTTACATGAGAAGCTTCTAGAACGTTCTCCAAGTATCGACTAGCGCTGATTGGATACGAAAGAGTCAATCAGCGTACAGCTAGCGCAATCATCAGACATGCGAAACTATAACTAACAGCTACTGACTATGACCTAAAAATATCTCTAATAATCACCTTACATTAATAGAAAAAATATAAGTATTACTAGCTAAACAAGTTACGCAATAACCGATGACTGATATAGGAGAAAATAAACAATTCGGAATCATAAGTCGGTAGTAGAATATTGACAAAACCAGCAAACTCATGTTTTACGGTTTTCGCTAATCTCCAATTAACACATACTGCATAGAAACTCCAACTACAGACTTACAAAAACTAAACTGTTATTAAATGAAATCACTAACTAACAACTTTAGATACTCATTATAGAGAAATGGATTTTATCAACAGAATTTTATACACAAAGTGTTGGAATAGTCAACAACACTTTCTCTGAATTAAACTATTTTAACCGGATGATGATAACAAAACGAAATACACAACAATCCCCACATTTACCTACCTTATAAATAGATTTATTCTTGATAACTGGCAGAGGTATTTTTACATCAGGACTTATAATGGCTGATAGACGAGAGTAAAGTCCATCTTGATTAAAAGGTAACTGACCGTAGACCATCATATAGAGAATTACACCTAATGACCAAATATCAGACTTACGACCAACCTATTTTTTTAAAAAATAACAACAACAAAACTTTTGTTGAATACTTGAGAATAATAAAACACAAAAAAAAAACATTTTTATTCATGATATGAATTTGAAATATCGGAAATAAAACCATCAGCAAAAGACACGATCAAGTTTCACATGAAAAGGCTGTTATTTTAGACACATCGGTTGAGAATATCTAATGAACTGATATATTTCTGTTTCAGAACTGATCATGTGACAACGAAAAGCTCAAACTTTAACAAAAGAGTCATTTATATACCTTGATACTTGCTACTTAGAATTGTGATTTGGACGAGGCAAATAAGAACAAGGAAGGTGGTAGATAAGAATTTATCTAATGCTGAAAGTTAACCGAAATTATATTTGAATGCAATATATTTAAATTCAGAATTGAGAAACTAAAAATTGATAAAATAAAAATCGAAAAAACCATTGGAAATCTTAAATTTTAGGATCCTATGAAGAAAATAAGAGTGAATACACCTGCGCTATACGGCTAACTGTTACCGTACCTAGGTATTTTGGGTAACAGCTTAAAATTGTCTACAATGACGCAGGTACATTCACTCTCGCTTTTGCACCCCATCAAACCTCGGTAATGATTGCATATTTACAGTATCATACAAAAATAAACGTATATAACAATCATAATTTCAATTAGTTGACCTCTCTCTAGACATATCAGAAACACTGTAAATCATTTGAAGTAATCATAAGTGTATAAGACGAATGATGGTTACTTCTAGTTCTGTTTTTTTTGTTGTATCACAAAACAAAAAACCGCAGATTAAATTTTTTGAGATGCGTTTAACTTATTTGGATTTTCCACTAATTAGTTGCTTTGAACGGAACATCAGATGTCTACTATAGCTGTAGCCTTTATACATACATATTCTTCCAGTAATGAATGTTAGTTAAATGACATTATTTTTGATGACCATCTTGACCAATTCAATGGTACGGGAACAACCAGTCTCCTTCCAAAATTCAGTAAAAGTGCAATATCCATTTTTCTCATGCATTTAGTGCGTGAGCATGACATATAAGAGCATTTTTACACTTGGAATTTCATTTTAAATAACTAAAGCCATCTGCGCATATGTTCTGTGAACGCGTTACCGTTACGCATCCCAAGTTTTCGGATGAGAAAAGTAAATATAGGGAAATTTCAAAGTTTGGAAATTATGCAGTCATCCACTAAATGAACGGAAAAACACTCAAACAACGCTTGATATAACACACATATTGAACTTTGGAAAAATAGTGTGCTATAAATTTACAGGTGTGTCTGCTGTCCCATTCAGTTCAGACAATACACTGCTCTATGAATAATTTTATAGATTTCGATGGACTGAAGGAAATGATAATTATTGAAAACCATCCCAGTACGTTGTGCAATTTTAATAGTACCATCTATTAGCACTATTACTAATCTTTTTGTTCATAATTTAGTTTCATAATGTTCTAACAAATGGAAAATTTTTTTTACTCTAATACGATCTACAACCAGGAAGTGACACTCGTCCTCATACTTCCAACAGAACACGAAATTAACTTGGTCACAATCAAATCCTAACCACAACGTTGCTTCACGTGGCCTCTCTGGTGTAGGCATAGCATGGAGTCCTAGGGTAAAACTAGCTCTCTTAGAATGGTTTTAAGTAGACAGTAGCTTGTGCGCTGTCCGACTAAGATTGGACAGTAAGAACAAAAAAAGATAAGTACACTCGCCATTACCTCTTCGATGTTTCTGCTTACGCTTCGACTGATTGTAGCGCAGATGAGGTACAAATTCAATTTTACAGAAAGCTTTCCAACCCTATTCAAAAAGCTAAGCACTCTGATGTAGTAATAGTAGCTGGCGATTTTATTACTCAACTAAGTAGATTAAACGAAACTGAAATACATCTGGGTAGATCTACTGATGTTGCAGCTCACCAAACAGATAATGGTGACTATCTGTTGCAGTCGTGCTCAGATAGCTGCCTATTTCTTGCGAACACCAACAACATCTTTTGACATAGTGACGCTGAAAATTTATTCGTTCTTCACGAATCATCTCATTTCCCTAGTCTTTTTGTACTAACTTTTACAAAACAATTACAATGGTAATTATTTTGATAATTTGTGCTTACTGTGTTGATGTGGCAGTAATGTAGACCAATGCACATATGTGTGAGTTTTCACGTTGCTTATAACTGGCTGAGTTATATAGTTATGGGACTGAAAGCTGAGTAGTTAAATGTTCTTCACTAACCAAGAGTTTGGCAGTAAAATTTCCAAGATTCCTGACATACTTGATGGGTTTCATCATGAAATGGAAAGTGCTAAACAATGCTAAATACGATCTACATCGAAAAACACAATAATAATAAAAATTATCACCCTAAAATAAATAAATACATTGTTCAGAAACAAACACCTTAAAACGATTTTCCTTGTCCGCTTCAGGAACCAAGAAGAACGACTGATTTAGACTACAGGATGATGATGATGAAGTGGAGGAGGCAGCGGCTTCTTCTAACTGTTCTGGGCTCATAAAAGATAAAGTTCCCAACTTTAACCAATGATTTACAGTTGTTGAATCATCTGGTAAGAAACGACTAATCCCCAGATCAATAAGTTTCAATTGTCCATACACTAAAACAAAGTTTTGTGGTTTTAGATCTAAGTGTACAACACCTTAAATGAATAAAAAAAAAAGTAATCAAGATAGAAAAAGTAATTATTATTCCAAATTTATATAAATCTATCTACAGTTTCAACAGGAAATAAAAATTAAACTAAGCGATCAATTGAACATCCTAGAGAAATTTTTAACACTGGATCTGTGTAACATTGAATGATAACCAAAGAAGACTATAATATGAAATTACTACTACTAAGATTGTACATTTAGATATTTACGCACAAAGAAAATTAAGGATTCCTGAAAACGGACGTTGAAAACGACAAAACAAATTTAGAACTTGATATTTTTGATAAACATAATTTTTGAATGGTATTCTTAAGTTTTAAACCACATTTCAATTAAAATGTTGTTATGTCTTTGAATATTCATGAATTCAGGTCACTGAGTTTTAATTTCGTTTCAGTTCGACTTCTCTTGAAATTATGTATACATATAGTTGAGAATTATTGTGCACGTTAGCAATTATTTTAATATAATAAATTTTCTACCGATTACTCATTTTAATGAAAAACGATATTGCAATAAGACACAAACAATTAAAAATAAACTCACGTCGATCATGCAGTGCTTTCACACACCTCAACATTTGATCCCAATAAAATACAATCCCAGATGAAAGCATACCTGATGATGGACGAGATGATTTTTGTACACCACCAGACCAAAAGCTGAGAATAACACTTTTCAGATCACAATCCCCTTTTTCCATAACTAGTATAAGATTTTCTGGGGTACAGTGACTAGGAATTTTTTGAAAAAGTAATTGTGAAATTTTGAAATATCATTAGTATTGAATAAATAAGTAAAGCAATAATCAAATTATGATGGATTATGTGAGAAAATTATGTAGGATTTAACCTGAAGATGTACATAGCTTTGAGCAACTTTTCCGTTGTTTATCAACATATATTGAAGAGAAGTTGGGAAAAAATATTTCCAATACAAAAAGCAGAATTCCTTAAGTAAAGCGTTAAACAGCCGTATTAAGTTAAAAGGAAACAAACAGCTGTTCTAAACAGGATTCTGATGGAATATTAAGATTTTTCAAACCAAAAGGAGTGAAATATGATAAATAAATTGACATATTCACTAGGTACTTAAGTATGAAGCACACTAAGAGTGAAGGTCATCCATATTCTCCAGCTGCCAAAACCGAAGTGGAGCAGAGTACAAGCCCAAGACTTAGTGGCTAAAAATAGAACACTTTGACCACTAAGCCATTGTTAGTTATGTTCACAACTACACTAACCAATCAAATTGTGGTTTAAGCGCCCACTACGTTGATTTGGTCTGATGTGTCTGTAAACTATCTCTGTTGCATGTGACCTACCAATTGGAAGACATTATCCTATTATATTAAATGTGACCCATAATCTTATTCATTTCGATTAGACGCGCAACATTGGTCGGTATGTTTGTTCGTTTCACTCAATAGCTGTAATTTCCTTAATGATTGTACTGATCTAATTGTTTTTACGTTTAAAAACAGATAAAGTTTAAAGCCAAGTTGTCCTTGTTCTGACTATAGCTTTCTCATATACTCTGTGCTCGCCAGTATCGCGTTTACGGTTTTAATAGTATATCTGTAGGACAAATTAAATCCTACAGCCATTGTTCCATCAGACCGATAAGTAAACCGTCGGAAAGGAATGTCATAAAATATAAAGACTTGGTGAATCCAAGATTCTTTTGAATCAAAATATTTCGTCACTTTTTGAGCGAACAAATTGTTGAACAACTTACTAATCATATAATCGGATAATTCTGTCAGAATCCACCAAACTTTTAAGCATCTCAATCTCATTCATATACGACGTAACTGTTTCTTGTGTAAGATTCTTCAAATCAACTTTTTTCACTGCCCATGGGTTTAACTCAGAGTCCATAGCCCAATAAACCTAACAATAAATGAAAAAAACAGCGAAAAGACGTATGTTTAAGAGATATATAACAATCAGAAATTCTGTACTTCGTTTTTTTTTCAATTTACCTCCTCGCTCTATGGTGTTAATGAAGGGAAAATTTCATTTGAAGTGTATCAACAAACAAAAAGAAACACTGTTAGAAAGCTGAACCAACAAATAACATTTATAAATCTATTAACTACACTATTTCCTTACGAAGTTATTAAAAGCGAGAGTTCAAATAATTTCCGATTTCTTTATATTTTGAAAAGAAAAAAAAACAGACAATCTCTCAACATGGTTAACACATTAAATGATATAGCGACCACTATGTTATATTCGAATATATTCTCGTTAATAATATGATATGGTGCTTTAAGCAGATAGTTATGAGTTATTTTTCTTACCGGACAAACCATTCACTAAATACGATAAAGGAGTAGATAAAAATAAATAACAAACCAACGACCAACAAGTATAAATCTTTATATGAGGGAAGAATATACGGCCAGACAAGTATCCTCACAAAATAATTACTGTGTGACTAACAAGCATAATAATTAAGGATGTATGTATAGACCAGTATCAACTATGATGAGTATAAGATTATTGGGATAGTGAAATTGACTTATTAGTCACACACTGTCTAATCTATGCATATCCAATCACAAATTAGAATGCATTTATACAGGAGTCACAAAGAATCACTGAATAAGCTTCATAAGCTGACTATTAAAGATTGCAGATCATGATCTGAAAGATTTAACTTTAAACCACGAGGTTACTAACTACGACACTGATTTATTCACTAAATAGTTTGTAGTATTACACCTGACATGAAATTTAGTACATAATTGATTGGTTTCTTAACCCCATGAATGAACTGCATGAATTGCGTCAACATTTAAACTTCCAGGTCAATTTAACAGAATATAAATCTTTTCGCCATATTTCTAATGCACACTTTGCTCGATAGTAAGTGTTAGATCTATCAACAGCACATAACATAAACAGTTATCAATCATGTTCTCTATGATGAAAATATTTGAAAGGAAAGTACACACAAATAAGAGACCTTAAAGTTAGATCATTTATAAAAATCACTTACTACTGATGAACCTCCCCGTCCCAATTCATTAATTATTCGATATTTCTTACCATTAACAATAATATATTGTTCACTATCATTGACCAGCTCAGTTTGCACACCGATAGATATCGGTATTTTATCCTGACAAATAAAATGATGCATTTGAAACATAAAAAATTAAATTACTGTCAGACGTTAAAGTCGAAAAAACATTAAATGAATAAATAAGCACAATGGGTCTACCTACTTAACTTATATGTATTGTAGAAACTCAAAATAGTGCTTATAGATATACAGCTACAAAACTTCTACAGATATTGAGTCCAGGACTTTGAAACATGACAACAAGTCCCTTGTATTATTACTGCGTAATATTAATTTGCATTAACGACTTAATAAACTTCACAGAACACTAAAACAACGATCAACTGTAGTAAGTTTGGTTAGTGATTGTATGAATTCAGTAGCTCAGTAGATAATACAGTATTGTTTGGAGTGAAAAATACCGGTTTCGAATCTTAGAGTGAACATCAATAGTGGAATGCACATGCATCCAGCTGAAAAGTCACGAATAAAGCAAAAGGTGTCCTTAATTACACTGTTGGTCACCATCCAACTTCACTTAGATATTGGGATTGAATATGGACATCGAGGAAATCAGCTCAAGATGAAAACGAGTCAGAAAGGCTGACTGATAACTGCCCGCTACAAAAACAGAAAAAATCCAAAGATTGGAGAAGAATAATGTGAATTCATTTTATTTCATCAGGTTCTCATCAGCTGCTTGCAACCAATAATATTTTAAAATCGAAATTATCATAGAAATTAATTTACCTATGTATACAGAAGTGATGTGTGTATCTTGACATTGCGAAGTTTCCAATAGAGTTAGTAACTGCTTTGGCAGTTACATTGGTAGAACAGAAAGAAGGGTCTGCATGATACATGATTTCCTAAATTTCTTTGTCATTTACGACAATGAAAGGTACTAAACTACTATTTGCAACAAAAGAACTAATACGAATCAGTAGATGGAAAGCAAATATCAATCATGTAACAGTTAGTACAACTAGATGTTGAAAGAGTAAAACTTAATATTACAACATAAATATAAGGAAAACTGTTCATTCAAAGGAATGAGTACATGGAACAGCAATAATCATAATTTCAAAAATCATCGGAACGTTAAACTAACGATTCATAATCGTTCTTAAACTTCCAAGTTGTAAACTATAAAATCACGAATATAGAAAATATAAAATTAAACGGCTGAATAATTTTTTAAATAAAGTGTACACGAAAACTAAAATGTTAGGTCAAAATACTTATTTTAATAAACGGAAACATGTATTCTCAGTCGCCACAAATCGCATAGCCAACCAGTCAGTTATTACAAGCAATGTATAACCTGGCACATATATGTATCCCTTCAAGTTGCTACACCATATTGGTGAAGCAAGATGAGATGATCAAGACAAATGCGAAATGGTGCAAATAGTATCAGAATCAGTAGCAAAAAACACTAGGCAAGAACAAAATAATACGAGAATGAAATCGCAAAACACAAAAAAAGAAAGAAAAATTTGATACTGAATAGCTCAAGGAACACAAAGAGTGAATGCCTCTGAGACAATTGGTTCTCAGTAAAGTCACCCCAACCTGGTAGTTGACACATACCTATCGAAATGGTTCAGTTCAACAGTTAATGACTTTATGGACTGACGCAACATCTTGGTTTGGCTTCCCCTTGGCTTTCTTTTGACTTATGTCTGCACCAAGAAAAATATCGCATCACAAACAGTATAACAATACAGTTAAACATACCACTACTGTATACATCTTACACTTCCTGTGTTATACTAGTCACAAAATAGGAAAAAAAACTAAATCACACAGAGGTACCTTTTCACAACTTTCATTCAATTTAATCGAACCAACAATCGTGGACAGTTCAGGTGGTTGTAATGATTCCATTTGTGGATTACTTGTGACTGGAAAAGATAGTGTGGACAGAGATCAATCAAGACAGACATTAACACTTTGGGAATAAAAGATTATGTTGAGGGCAGCAATCATCAAATAAAAAGCAGTAACCGAAATTTAGTGTAGCTAAGAAGATTATACAACAATATATACATATATAACTCCGCCTGAAACGCCTCTGGGAGTCCTCTGACGGTCCCAAGGTCAGAAAAGGTGGGAGGGTTGTGCGTGGGGTTATCGACTCAAACTCATAGAAAACCAACTCTCTACTACCCAGGAAAAATAATTCACACCATTGTAACCCTGCTCTGGGGAGTTAGAAGGTCTTCATTTAGAAGAATCATGACGTCTCATGATGAAAGCCGAGTTTCTTCGGAGATAACGAGGACAATGCCACTTCTGACAACCGGAGTGACAATTAATATAGGCACATGGAATGTCCACATAGTGTGGAAAACCGGAAGGGTCATCCAAATAGCTGCGGAAATGAAAAGATACAACCTGGAGGTGCTTGGAATCAGTGAAACGCACTGGACGCAGATAGGAAAACTGAAACTAACTCCAGGAGAGCTGCTGTTAAACTCCGGTCATGAAGAAGAAAATGCTACACATACACAAGGAGTTGCACTGCTGTCCAGACAAGGACGAAAGGCACTGCTAGGATGGGAATCGCATGGGCCAAGGATCATCAAAGCATCCTTCAAAACAAAGAAAGAGGACATTACAATGAATATTATTCAGTGCTATGTGCCTAAAAATGATAACAGTGAGGACGGTAAAGATCAATTCTACGAGGCTGCAGCCAAACTGCAACATTACGGATCATTGTGGAACAATTATTTGAATCGAATTCACCACTCTACATCACCTTCATTGACTACAAGAAAGCATATAACAGTGTGGACAGGACAACATTATGGAGGCTTCTTCGACACTTTGGTCTGTCTGACAATATAGTCGTGCATGGAGGATAGCTCACAGACTAGTTCCAAGTAAAGACCGGTGTCAAGCAAGGTTGCTTGCTCTCACTCTTTCTACTGGTGATCGACTGAATTATGAAGACTTATACATATGGAAGGAAGCACGGTCTTCAGTGAATAGGCAGGATACAGCTGGAGGATCTGGATTCCACAGATGATCTGACGCTTCTATCGCACATCAAACAACAAATTCAAGAGAGGACGATCAGTGTAGCAGCAGTAGTCCTCAACATACGTGAAGGGAAAATCAAGATCCTCAGATACAACACAGCATTTATCAACCAAATCACTCCTGATGGAAATGTCTTGGAGGATGCAAAAATCTTCACATACCTGGACAGAATCATTGACGAACAAGGTGGATCGGATGCAGATATGAAGCCGCGGATCGGCAGAGCAAGGGCAGCACTTCTGTAGTTGAAGAGCATCTGCAACTCAAAACAACTATCAACCAACACCAAAATCACAATTTGCAATACAAATGTCAAAACAGATCTACTGTATGGGAAGGAAATTTGAAGAACTATGAAATCCATCATCCAGAAGATACAAGTGTTTATTAACAGTCGTATACACAAAATCCGTCGGCCAGGCACTATCAGCAACAACCTACTTTGGGAGAGGACGGAGGAAGAAGGGCTAGAAGTGGATAGGACACATATTACGCAGAGCACCCGAATGCGTTACGAGACAAGCCCTCACCTGAAATCCTCAAGGCCAAAGGAAAAGAGGAAGGGCAAGGAACACATTACTCCGAGAAATGGAGACAGAGAGGAGAAGAATGAACAGCAATTGGACAGAACTAAAAAGGAAGACCAAGGACAAAGAAGGTTGTATAATGCTAGTCGGAGACCTATGATCCATTGGGGGTAACAGGAGTAAGTAATTAAGTATATATATATATATATATATATATATAGAGAGAGAGAGAGAGAGAGAGACTAGTTTACTGCAAACAACATTTATGGCACGCTTCTTTAATCCATATGGAAACAATCAATAGAACGTTGCATTTATGAAAACCAGGTTAAAAAACGGAGTTCGTGCACGCCCACAGGATACGTAGTTGACAGTGAACTTATTAACAATTGCCAGATCTAAATAAAAAACCTTAAAAGCAAAAAATGGTGCCATATAAACTATATTAACAGAAATTCGATACAAAATCCGCCAAATTTCACAAATAAAAAAACTAGCCAGCTACTTTACAGTAGTGAAACATGAACTAAAACTAGACCTACGTTAAAATTGGATAATCAGAAGTAGAATCGCTGACTGCAATGCTACATTTGATCTGATGGAAATTAATCACACAAAATACTTTATTCAGATCTATTCTCGTTGTACTTGCTTCAGTTAGTAACAAAAACAGAATGATAATATATACTCGTTTCATAAGTCAAAAAATTCTTTATTAACCAGGTTGCTGATGAAATAGTGTACCTTTACCAAATTAGGCTGCTGGAAAATATGTTGACTATCGAGTAAGCAATGCAGTCGTTATTGTCCTAATATGGCAGCTAAGAGTAGAAAACATTCGTAAGTTATTAGTATTCAATCATAGATGTCTTCGAAGCATTGCTCATTTGTCCTTGGACAACGGAGTCAGCAATACTGTAGTTAGGAAACGAGTACTAGGCAAGGATGGCAGACCAATAGATGAAGTATTGAAACTTCATCAGTTGAGGTGGTTGGGACATGTGCTGCGTATGCCTAACCACCGACTGCCTCGACGAGCTATGTACTGTGGTGTAGGAGTAGGTTGGAAGAAAGCTAGGAGCGGCCAGACCAAAACATGACACAAAGCCATGAAGTCACTGACAAGTGGACTGAGTCATGTTGGTAGATGTAGGCTACCTGGTTGGGGTCCGCGAGATGAAAGTCAGCGATGGTTAGAGACCTTGAACGACATGGCTCAAAATCGTTTGCAATGCCGCAGGCGCATTCATTCACTGTTTTCTCTCAAATTCTAATCTTCAGAATTCTTCATCATCTACATCTTTCGCTTTCTAAATTTATTTCACTGAATTATACTTCTCGAATCATATATTTGAACCCTAATCTCTCCGATTACTGTTAATACTTCTACTACCCCAACTACTATGGGATTTGAACTGACAGTGGCGTCTCTGTGCTAATGTGGTGCGGCAACATGAACTGTTCTACGTACGTACGAAGTTCTAACTTGTAGCTGAATGACTGACTGAAGATACAAAACACTGGACAGTATTATTAAGTTATACGTTATGAAGTTTGTTTGATTGACTGAATGTCAATTTTAAGCACTACCTGAAACTTGATAACCAAAAAAATAAGTGTTTAATTTACCTGAAGTGAGCAGCGATTCTTTTGAAAGCCTTGGTGATATGAAAGACTGGGACGAATCAGGTAAGCCCTAGGGAATTAACGAAAATATTTATTACAAGTTTTCTAAAAATTAAGTTTTAGATTATTGATTACACATTATGAACATATAAGTTCACTTTACTTTAGTGCCAGACGTTGAATATCAAACAAAACATTCCAAATCCAATAAGACCAACGAGAGTTTAATATTTGGTCTCATTGAGCTTCACTAAACCACAGATTTATAAGTTACCTCCCCTCAATGTCAGGTAAAACAAAACAAAAGTCGAAATAGATATTATTGTTGGGAAAAAACTTTCAGTGTCAAAAACTGATAACCAAGCATTTTTCAAAGAACCCAATTTTTCTCTAACCTTATAATATATATATATCAGAGTAAAAAGTGGTGGAGACTAATTATTGTGTGCTTAACTTGAATATGAGAAAAATGAGGTTTCGGACTTCTTCAAGAGACCTTATGTGATTAAAAGCTGCCACGATGCAGCTAGTGGTACTCTTACTGCTGTACGTGTCAGTTAACTTAAATAATCAAGAGTACATTGTGACATATTCGGTTATCGATCACTGACATTTAAGAATCAAAATACAACAATAAATCATAAAAGAAACAATAGTTATATTTATTCGAAAAATTCTCAAAATCTTTTTAAGCAAACTTTATAACCTACTCCGACTGAATCAACAATTTGTATAGATCCGAGTGAGTCGCAATCGCTAGGATAGTTTTTCGAAACTTCATGTGGTTCAAACTTGACGTTTGGAGAAATTCTTCAAAAAGAAAGTGTTAGAATGTACACATGAATAAATACTGAAATTCAGAATCGAGATGAAAATGAAGAGTAAATGCATAGTCATAATGTGAGTAGTTTCAAACAATATTACTCAAACATATAAAACTTAGACAACAATCAGTCAATCAGCTACAAGGTAGAACTTCGTACGTACGTAGAACAGTTCATGTTGCCGCACCACATTAGCACAGAGACGCCACTGTCAGTTCAAATCCCATAGTAGTTGGGGTAGTAGAAGTATTAACAGTAATCGGAGAGATTAGGGTTCAAATATATGATTCGAGAAGTATAATTCAGTGAAATAAATTTAGAAAGCGAAAGATGTAGATGATGAAGAATTCTGAAGATTAGAATTTGAGAGAAAACAGTGAATGAATGCGCCTGCGGCATTGCAAACGATTTTGAGCCATGTCGTTCAAGGTCTCTAACCATCGCTGACTTTCATCTCGCGGACCCCAACCAGGTAGCCTACATCTACCAACATGACTCAGTCCACTTGTCAGTGACTTCATGGCTTTGTGTCATGTTTTGGTCTGGCCGCTCCTAGCTTTCTTCCAACCTACTCCTACACCACAGTACATAGCTCGTCGAGGCAGTCGGTGGTTAGGCATACGCAGCACATGTCCCAACCACCTCAACTGATGAAGTTTCAATACTTCATCTATTGGTCTGCCATCCTTGCCTAGTACTCGTTTCCTAACTACAGTATTGCTGACTCCGTTGTCCAAGGACAAATGAGCAATGCTTCGAAGACATCTATGATTGAATACTAATAACTTACGAATGTTTTCTACTCTTAACGACCATATTTTGCAAACGTAAATTAGGACAGAGCGAACTTCTGCACAGCATACTCGTCCTTTGGTCAGCAAACGGATAACTCGCCTTTGCCATAAGTGACGCAGGTTGGCAAAAGCCAATCGAGCCTTCTGTATCCCAGCTGAGGTTTCGTCAGTCACCAGGCCATCAGCTATCATGAATCTACCGAGATAATTGAAGCGTTGAACACACTCACCTGCTTCACTTCCTATCACTAGTTCAGGTGCCAATGCGACCCAGTCTTGAAGCAACATTTTGCATTTCGTGGGTGAGAACCGCATCCCGAACATGCTTGCATTGTTGCTTATGGTAGTCAGAAGACTCTGCATTTTGTCAGCGTCTTCACCGAATAGAACTATGTTATCGGCATATTCAAGATCAGTAAGCGACTTTCCTGGTAGGAGGTCAACCCCTGAAAAATCTGACGAGCTTACTGTTAACTCTAAGAGGATGTCTACGACAAACTTAAACAAGAATGGAGAGAGTGGACAGCCCTGACGGACCCCACTTGAAGTAACTAATTCTGCATTTTGTCAGCGTCTTCACCGAATAGAACTATGTCATCGGCATATTCTAGATCAGTAAGCGACTTTCCTGGTAGAAGGTCAACACCCCTGAAAAATCTGACGAGCTTAATGTTAACTCTAAGAGGATGTCTACGACAAACTTAAACAAGAATGGAGAGAGTGGACAGCCCTAACGGACACCACTTGAAGTAACTAATTCTGATGACAGTTCGCCATAAGCTCTCACTCAACCTGTAGTGTTCGGGTAGAAAGCTTGTATAAGGGTAATGTACTTCTTTGGTACACCTTTCAATAACAGACACTGCCACAGAACCTCACGATCCACAGAGTCAAATGCCGCCTTAAGGTCCAGGAAAACAACTATTGTAGGACGCCTAAATGTGTCTATGTTCCAGGACCTGTCGTAATGTGAAGATGTGGTCTATACAACCACGTCCAGGTCGAAAACCAGATTGGTTTTCTCTGGTTTGCTCTTCACGAGCTTTCGTTAAGCGTCGAAGTATTACTGAGGCCAATATTTTAGATACTATATTAGTTAGACTGATTCCCCTGTGATTGTCACAAGAAGACTTTTGTCCTTTCTTATAGATTGGGACAACCAGTGATTGAGACCAGTCGGATGGGATTGCGTCCAGTTCCCAGATTCTACCTAAGATCTCAGTCAACCTAGCTGATAAAACTGGACCACTATCCTTAAGTATCTCAGGGGTCAGTCTATCAGGACCTGCAGCTCGTCCTCGTTTCAGATTTCCTAACGCTTTCTCAACGTCATCAAGCCTAGGGGGACTTAGATCGATTTGCCATTCAGGATGACCGGAGATCGTTGGCAACCGAAGTGTGGCTGGAGGCCAGTTTAACTGATCCCTAAAGTGTTCTGCCCATCGATCCAGTCTCCTGGATTGAGAATGGATAATAAGACCATCCTTTTCCGAGATAGTCTCACTCACATTCGGGTTCCTAATACCGGTTTCTCTGATAAGGCGGAAAAGTTGTCTAGTGTTGCCTATCGCCGCTGCCTTTTCCATCGCTTTTGCTTTCGCCACCCACCACTGTTCGCGGTCGTTACGCAGACTTTTTATAAGTCTGCGCCTAAGCTGACTACGCTCTTCATCATGCTCAGAGTCAGGTGCGATGTGTTTTCGAACATCCATCAGTTCGGTGGATGCGACTGAAATCCACGGCTTCATCTTAGCCTTATGGTTTACCTTACTAGCAGATATCACTGCCCTTTCCACAGCCTGTTTGATATCATACCAACCTGCTTCTGGATCGGAATCACTTACATCGTTGCTTAACTCTCTTTCTAGTTGCTCCTGAAATATTTTCTTAGTTTGATTATCATTAAGTAAAACCCTAAGAGGCTTCCTTACGGTGTCTTTCCTACGTCCAGTAAGCCTCAAACAGATACGAGCTCGCACTAGAGCATGATCTGAATACAAACATGTGCCCCAGAACGAGCGACAGTCTTCTATCGAACCCCTCCATCGGTGGCTGATGGCAATGTGATCTAGTTGCGTCCAACGTTGAGACGACTTCGGGGGTCGCCAGGTCAAAAGATGTTTTTCCTTTAGCTTAAAATTAGTGTTTGCTAGAAATAGTTGGTAATCTCAGCACAGTTGCAACAGACGGTCGCCACTGTCTGTTCTTTGAGCCGCGACCCCATAACATCCACCTTAGTGTCTTTCATTTTCACTTAGTCTACCTACTTGAGCATTAAAGTCACCAGCCATTATTACTAAATCAGAGCGCTTAACTTTCTGGAGGAGGTCCAAAAGCTTCCTGTAAAACTCATCTTTCATATCGTCTGGACTGCAGTCGGTGGGGGCGTAGGCTGATATGACGAAGAGGCAACGACTAGTGTCCCTATCTTTCCGAGTCCTTACTGTCCCGTTTAGTCAGACAGCGCACAGGCGACTATCTACTGGGATCCAATCAAGGAGAGATTGTTCTGCCCTACGACTCAAAGCTATAACTACACCGGCGAATGATGGTACTCGGATCCTGTATGCGCGTTTCCGAGACGCAGCACACATCGATGGAACGAGATTCTAAAGTCCTAGCTAATGATGCCTGTTGCCCTATTTGACACAATGCCCGTACATTAAAGGCTCCAACACGTAGTTTAGAACGGGGTTTCAGGAGACCAGGAACAACGTTTCGCGAACTCGCATCGTCTGCATTAGCTGTGCACTGTGATAAATGAATGTGAGAAGATTTAGTCATGGAGATAAGAGAGGTATTACGGGGTGTAGGAAGGATTTGATTTTGACCGATTTTGTTACGGGTATGGGGGCGGTTACCACTTCCTGGCTGCCCGGGAAGTGATCGACCCGACCGTAGCTGCTACCTTGACGTGGTGGTCGGGCTTGCCTATCGTAATGACCCAACCGAGATATATTAGCTGGAACATATGTTCCTGAAGGTTCTACCATGCCAGGCTGGTCGATTGGAGAGCGATGAGACTAAAAGCAACTACCCAAGGTCTGAGGGCGAAGTCGTACTGCTGACTGCAGAGGGGTGTGACAGCAGTAAGGTGTTTCCCTCGGACAACCAGCATCTGCAGCGATGCTGCCTTCTCACAAGGAAGGAAGGGTTAGAAAAGGTCGACCCTCAAAATGTCACACCTCACCTTACCTCACGGATTTCCGTCTCCTTGGGTAAGGGTGCCCACCAAGAGCCTTTAAGAACGGAGCTAATCCTCTAAATACCTTTCATAAAAAGGCTGTGCGTGACCGGCCTCAAGCAGTAGTCCCTTGGGCTCTGCGGTCACGCACCAACACTAATCCATCTTCCTTTTCACGTCCCCCAAGAAACAACCTTCCACGGTTTGGCAGCCGGGAAGTGACAACCGCCCTCATACCCGTAACAGCACGCGAGACCAAATTGGTCGAAATCAAATCCTTCCTACATCGCCTAATGTCTCTCTTATCTCTACGACTAACTCTACTCACACTTCCTTATCTCACTGCACCGCTAATGCAGACGAAGCGAGATCACGAAACGTCGTTCCTGGTCTCTTGAAACCCCGTTCTAGACTACATGTTGGAGCTTTTAATGTACGGACATTGTGTCAAATAGGGCAACAGGCATCATTAGCTAGGACTTTAGAAACTCGTGCCATCGATGTATGCTGCGTCTCAGAAACGCGCATACAGGATCCTAGTAAAGTCGTTAACCTGATTCCACCTTATCAAAACGAAGAAGCAGCCCGATTCACTCTTCGTGTATCCGGTAGCCCTGATGCTGCTTTCAGGGGTCTTGCTAGCGTAGGCATAGCGTTGAGTCCTAGGGCAGAATTATCTCTCCTTGACTGCATCCCAGTAGATAGTCGTTTGTGCGCTGTCTGACTAAACGGGACAGTAAGGACTCCTAAGGATAGGGACACTCGCCGTTGCCTCTTCGTCATATCTGCCTATGCCCCCACTGACTGCAGTCCAGACGAGGTTAAAGATGAGTTTTACAGAAAGCTTTCGGACCTCCTCCAAAAAGCTAGGCACTCTGATATAGTAATAATGGCTGGTGACTTTAATGCTCAAGTAGGTAGACTAGGTGAAAATGAAAGACACTAAGGTGGATGTTATGGGGTCGCGGCTCAAAGAACAGACAGTGGCGACCGTCTGTTGCAACTGTGCTGAGATTACCAACTATTTCTAGCAAACACTAATTTTAAGCTAAAGGAAAAACATCTTTTGACCTGGCGACCCCCGAAGTCGTCTCAACGTTGGACGCAACTAGATCACATTGCCATCAGCCACCGATGGAGGGGTTCGATAGAAGACTGTCGCTCGTTCTGGGGCACATGTTTGTATTCAGATCATGCTCTAGTGCGAGCTCGTATCTGTTTGAGGCTTACTGGACGTAGGAAAGACACCGTAAGGAAGCCTCTTAGGGTTTTACTTAATGATAATCAAACTAAGAAAATATTTCAGGAGCAACTAGAAAGAGAGTTAAGCAACGATGTAAGTGATTCCGATCCAGAAGCAGGTTGGTATGATATCAAACAGGCTGTGGAAAGGGCAGTGATATCTGCTAGTAAGGTAAACCATAAGGCTAAGATGAAGCCGTGGATTTCAGTCGCATCCACCGAACTGATGGATGTTCGAAAACACATCGCACCTGACTCTGAGCATGATGAAGAGCGTAGTCAGCTTAGGCGCAGACTTATAAAAAGTCTGCGTAACGACCGCGAACAGTGGTGGGTGGCGAAAGCAAAAGCGATGGAAAAGGCAGCGGCGATAGGCAACACTAGACAACTTTTCCGCCTTATCAGAGAAACCGGTATTAGGAACCCGAATGTGAGTGAGACTATCTCGGAAAAGGATGGTCTTATTATCCATTCTCAATCCAGGAGACTGGATCGATGGGCAGAACACTTTAGGGATCAGTTAAACTGGCCTCCAGCCACACTTCGGTTGCCAACGATCTCCGGTCATCCTGAATGGCAAATCGACCTAAGTCCCCCTAGGCTTGATGACGTTGAGAAAGCGTTAGGAAATCTGAAACGAGGACGAGCTGCAGGTCCTGATAGACTGACCCCTGAGATACTTAAGGATAGTGGTCCAGTTTTATCAGCTAGGTTGACTGAGATCTTAGGTAGAATCTGGGAACTGGACGCAATCCCATCCGACTGGTCTCAATCACTGGTTGTCCCAATCTATAAGAAAGGACAAAAGTCTTCTTGTGACAATCACAGGGGAATCAGTCTAACTAATATAGTATCTAAAATATTGGCCTCAGTAATACTTCGACGCTTAACGAAAGCTCGTGAAGAGCAAACCAGAGAAAACCAATCTGGTTTTCGACCTGGACGTGGTTGTATAGACCACATCTTCACAGTACGACAGGTCCTGGAACATAGACACATTTAGGCGTCCTACAATAGTTGTTTTCCTGGACCTTAAGGCGGCATTTGACTCTGTGGATCGTGAGGTTCTGTGGCAGTGTCTGTTATTGAAAGGTGTACCAAAGAAGTACATTAACCTTATACAAGCCCTTTACTCGAACACCACTGGTCGAGTGAGAGCTTATGGCGAACTGTCATCGGAATTCTCTACATCAAGTGGTGTCCGTCAGGGATGTCCACATTCTCCATTCTTATTTAATTTTATGATAGACATGCTCCTAGACATAAAATTATCCTCGTCTGAATTTTCAGGAGTAGACCTTCTACCAGGTGGCTCGCTTATTGACTTAGAATATGCCGATGACATAGTTCTATTCGGTGAAGACGCTGACAAAATGCAGAGTCTTCTGACCACCCTAAGCAACAATGCAAGCATGTTCGGGATGCGGTTTTCCCCCTCGAAATGCAAAATGTTGCTTCAAGATTGCGTTTCATCGGCACCTGAGCTAGTGATAGGGAGTGAAGTAGTCGAACGTGTAGACCGCTTCACTTTTCTTGGGAGTCTCATCAGTACCCATTGCCTGGTGACTGACGAAACCTCAGCTCGGATACAGAAGGCTCGATTGGCTTTTGCCAACCTGCGTCACTTATGGCGTAGGCGTGATATCCGTTCGCTAACCAAAGGACGGGTGTACTGCGCAGCAGTTCGCTCCGTTCTCCTATATGGCTGTCAAACATGGCCAGTGAGTGTAGAAGATATTCGTAGGTTACTGGTTTTCGATCATAGGTGTCTTCGAAGCATTGCTCGTATACCTTGGGACAACCGAGTAAGCAATGCTGTCGTTAGGAAACGAGTACTAGGTAAGGATGGCAGACCAATCGATGAAGTGGTGAAAATTTATCAGTTGAGGTGGTTGGGACATGTGTTGCGTATGCCTAACCACCGACTGCCTCGACGAACTTTGTTTTGTAGTGTAGGAGTAGGTTGGAAGAAAGTTAGGGGCGGCCAGACCAAAACATGGCACAAATCCATGAAGTCATTGACAAATGGACTTAGCCATGTCGGTAATTGTCGACTACCTGGTTGGGGTCCGCGAGATGATAATAATCGATGGTTAGAGACCTTGAATGACATGGCTCAAAATCGTTCGCGATGGCGCCAGTGCATTTATTCTTTGTGTTCTCTCAAACCCTAATCTTCTGGATTCTTCAACACCTCTAGTTTCGACTCTCTAAACTTTTCTCACTGAATCATACTTCTTGAATAATATCTTCTAACCCTAACCTCTCCGATTACTTCTAATTCCCTTACTACCTCTACTACTATTGGATTTGAATCGCCAATTATATCTCTGTGCTGATGTGGTATGGCAACATGAACTGATGTACTTACGTACGAAGTTCTACGTTGCATCTGTCTGTCTGTCTGTCTGTCCCGGCTGCCCACACCAAGGAAGGTTGTTTCTCGAGGAACCTGAAAAAGGTAGATTAGAGTTGGTGTTGGAGACCTGGGAGCGTGACCACAGAGCCCAACGGACAACTGCTTGAGGACGGTCACGCACAGCCTTTTTATGAAAGGTTTTTTGAGTGTTAGCTCCGCTCTTGAAAGCCCTTAGTCAGCACCCTTACCCAAGGAGACGGAAATCCGTGAGGTAAGGTGAGGTGTGACATTTTGAGGGTCGACCTTTTCTAACCCTTCCTTCCTTGTGAGAAGGCAGCATCGCTGCAGATGCTGGTTGTCCGAGGGAAACACCTTACTGCTGTCACACCCCTTTGCAGTCAGCAGTACGACTTCGCCCTCAGACCTTGGGTAGTTGCTTTTAGTCTCATCGCTCTCCAATCGACCAGCCTGGCATGGTACAACCTTCAGGAACTTATGTCCCAGCCAATATAGCTCGGTTGGGTCATTACGATAGGCAAGCCCGACCACCACGTCAAGGTAGCAGCTACGGTCGGGACAGGGATCGACATTAAGATAGTATCCACTGAAACGACTAGACTGTAACCAAAAAATGATTACATTGGATTTTCAAAATTTCGGAAATAACATAGACTTACTCATTTGGGTAAGTTGAATCCAGAGCTGAAGAGACTTCACTTGAACTTGCCCGAGAACGATTCATATCTAGGTGAAATATTCGATTAGTGTCTAATATGAAAATCTTACCTTCGGAATCGAAGTCTGGTTTATAATAAAATGGTCCTAATAATGATTTGAAATCATGGTCTGTATCTAGCATAATTTCGGCTTTACATAATAATTCCATCCCACACGAGTCTACAGACTTTTTTGCAGAGTTTAAGAGACCTTTAGCTCTATTTTTATCTCCTGAAAATTTTATTAACCTAATAATAATCAGATGCTTACCTTGTTTAGAATAATAATACGCTACAGCTGCTATCAGCTGTGCATTTTGACGACCATTTATGGAACAAAAGCTCAGAAGTACAGGACCATAGTCCACATTTCTAAGTATAATTAGAATAAATAACTTACTCATATGATGCTAAAACTGCTCTTCTAATAAAAATTGTAAGATACATTTCATCTGACCAGTTTGCCTCTAATGACTAGTATAAAAGCGTATACATAGTACTGACGTATTAACTTACATCTATCGCACTTTCATACAAATTTAAAAGTATGTTAGTTGCAGTTGACTCTCGATCCAATGACCTGACTTTTTTTTCCATATGATTGAGGAAACTAAGCCAATCACTACAAGATTTTATATTTTTAGGGTCTTCAGAAAATAAACTGAAATTCAGAAACTCACAAGTTTTGACAATTTCTATCTGCAAATCCCGTGATATATTTGGAAGAAGCATTATATGCAAATTGGCTCGTTGCTACAATGAAGGTAGTGAAAAAAGTGTTTATTTTCAACTTATACTCGTAATCAAAAAGTTGACATGTAATTCTAAAGTGACATATATTATACAGGTATCTTTATCAGTTCAGTAAGGATGTCCACTCTCTCCATTTCTGTTTAATTTTGTCATAGACCTGCTAATAGATATAACATTATCTTGGTCTGAATTTTCAGGAGTGGACCTTCCACCACTTCTACGAAATTCTGTTGTTATTGACTGACTGACTGAGTAGTTCAGCGGTCATTCATAATGTGCATAAGAACAAGTTGTCAAACTAAATCAGTAGAGTAAGAAATCAGAAGATGAATATCATAGAAGCAAATATTATATGAGGACCTATGTTATACTAGATGAACTTAAACCGACACAACAGAGTGATGATACATTCTGATTCGGGCATCTTTAGCATTCTCCCGATTAAATTTTGTGTCGCCAGTGAACACTAAGATGTGATGATTGAGTGTATGTAACATATGCGTATTGACTAAAATGAGCATTTCTAGCAGCATATCGAAAAGATAGCAACAAAAAATGAAAGTAAGTAGTCATGCTTTACATTGCATTTGAAACACGTGGCCAAGACAATTTTTGTGTAGGAACACTATTTCTCAGATATCACGTCTAAGATTATGGAAATAATGTGCTTGGTAAAATTAAATCATGATAACAATCAAATTAGGTTTACTAGCATAGCATGGAAACAAAATAGCACGAAACCTACTTCAAATGAGCACATTACAATGACGCAAATGATGAAGTTGCAACATCACAAAGCCCTTGAACGTTTCTCGGCCAACAAGATCAACTTTAGTCACAAACATAACGCATATGGTGGAACTAAAGTATGAGAACCTTGAATTCTATGAGCAAAATCTTAGCTGCCTATCAGTTCCAAAACAGGAATAGGAATTAGTGGTCAAAATTAAAGCTATGGTTAGAAGTAGGAAATTAGGTTTAGGGTTTTCATCATACACTAACATCAGGTATGATGGAATGATGCTTTGTAACCATATGGATCAATTAATCTTATGCAAGAATCTGACCGTAAATCTGACAGGCTTTCCTACGTACTTTAGTTCTGCAAAAATCTTGAATTTCAGTCAATAACGGATGCAACTGATCTGTACATGGACAAATCACTTTAAACGAGTCAGCAACCAGTCCGAAGGCTCGAATTCTTACATAGGACCCAAACTACATTGTTTTGTATTTCGTCTGGTTATCCATGACATTTCTGACTGGAATTCACTTTAGCCTAAGACAATGTTTGGCCTTGGCAAATGGAAATCTACTGTAAAAAAAAAACAATCGAAACATCTACGGTCGGGTATTTGAACTCTACGAATACCCCGAAAACCGTACGCAATAGACTCGACTTTAACTGTTTCCGGCGCAATCGACTGTGTAACCAACCGAGTAGTGACATCCAGGTACTTACTAGTATAATCTGATTAATGTAAATCTCAAGACAAGTGAGTTGTTTTAAAAAAGTGACCATCTCTCTTCTGACAATTAGATATCAAATATACATTGAGCCTGTTTAAAAAATACCCTACACGAGAATGAAAATGGATATCAAGTATAAAAAATTTCGAATCTCATAAAAGTCGAAAGATTAGATATTCTTTTGACAACCCTATACTGATCTATTTCGTAAAAGAGGTGTAGTTTAGTAGATAAGGCTGTCACTTGCATTTCCGTACGTGTACTGAAAATGTATGTTGAATTCCGCTTCATATGGCACAGGATATAAAGAAACAGGAAAACATGGGATGGACAAATCTCAGGTCTACTCGATACTAACCTTCTTTTTGTATCTACGACCTTGAACGCATTCTTACAATGCGGGCATTGAAAGAATTTGAGACTGCTTGAATGTGTGCCAACTTACCGGAGTGTGTAGTTTTCGCATGAATAATTAGTCAATAGACGTCTGGAAACCCATAAAAAAGTGGAGTAATCAGTTAAGCTGTTTACTCCAATTTATCACCAATATGTTTTTTACGAGCTACTATAAACCAATATCCAATATCTTTTTCATCACATAAGAGTGAGTTTAGGCTAGAGTGGGCATATATAAGGCATCCTCCACCTCTTCGAAATGGATCATATTTCTTAAGAGATATACTAAGATCAGAAATATTCATGGAAGTCCATGCCTTAATGATGGTTGGCAAATAGACGCAAACATGATTAGATCTGTCTTTTATTACAGATCGAACGAGCATTAATAAGACATATATTAAACAGATGTCCCACTAAGCTAAAATAATTTAGGGTATATTGAGTAAAAGAGTTACTATGACCAACGTGGGTGTGGTATGAGGGGTTAGGGGGGACATGTTAAGTAAATTAGTGAAATTTACTGGAGGGTTTTTCAGCCCAGAGGAAAGGGAGAGAACGATGCCTGTTTGAGATTGTGCGAGGGGAGTGCTTTTATACTCTGCATGTGGCATGAAATGACTTGAGCTATATGTGGTGCAAGAGGTACCACAAGTGGCTGGATCCCAAAAAGATTTTGAGTAGGCTGGAACTGCAGTTCACCATCGTTTCTAGTAATGTCTCGATGACACATCTTGCTACTCAGGATATATTTCTTCGGAATGGTTTTTACTTGGGGTGGGTTTACCATGTACGAGTGCCAGTTGTTATGACCTTTTATAAATTTGGGGGTCATGTTTACCAGTTGGCTTGGTAGAGTAGGATGCATCGAGTTTTGATCATGAGCGTTTTTGCGAATAAGAGCCTGATCATTAAAAATGGGGTGTGGGGTGAAAAATCTTCCACTTCCACTGTCACTAATAACTCTAGGGTTTGTTGGGTGTGCAGTTTAACTAGCACGTGTTTTTCGAGAAAAATTCGGGTATTCTCTTGTAATATATTTTGGGGATCTCGTCTTTAATTTGTTAATCTTAGCTGGAATTGTGTTGGTTATGGAAAATATTCAAGCAACTTAACATTCGAACAGCCTGGATTAGAAATACAGGTGTTCTTAGACTTTTCGATGAAAGTCGGGATTCTTACTTTATTTAAAAATTTAAAGTCGATAGACTCATCTAGATCTACTTGGTGGTTTATGTGTCTATTTGTGCTGATGACATTAAGAGTTGTCTCCAGTGCGTTGTTTGTTGTGACATAGTCTCTCGATCTTGTCGCCTCTCCTCCTTTTATGAGACTTTGACAAGGCGTTAGATCTGGAATGACCTGAATGTCTTTGTACACGGTTGATGAGCTTATATTTTTGCTCAAATGAATAAATTGTTAGGCGTCGTTGCAGCAGCCACATTTGAACAAAAGGGGCCAAGTTGATTTATTCATTTTTTTTCTGAGGCGTGTGACCTGATAACTGACGTTTGCCATACCACACGCTTGTGGACAGGTATCCCTTAGCGAAGTCTAGGATGTGCGATCAGGGCGGTTATATGCAATCGCATTGCAGCAAGACATTAGTCTTTTGTTAACTTCTGCAGCTAAAAACTCCAGAATGTATTCAGCTCTTGTTAATTCCTCGAGGTTCCTATCGTTAGATGAGGCCCGTATGTGTGTTAGTGGTGCTAACAGGTTAAGCTTATCGTCTTGTAACTGTCGTATCTCACTGCCATGCTTATTACTACTGTAGAATCCTTTTTGAATGTTTTGTTTTCTGGAAAATCCCTCCATGTTTACATATTTTTGTTATGACATGACGGACTTTTTCTGTTGACATTTCGCTGTTTTATTTGATTCCAATTTGAGATTTTATCATTGTATATTGTTATTATTTCTATATTTTGTACTTATATTGAAGTTTTTGTGTTTGTTTCTGAACTGTATATATGTTCTTTAAATTTGATCTTTAATATGGCTACAGCCATATTTGGATTGATACGGTAGCTGTTGGACTTAACGTCACTTATTTATCTTTGTTTCGGATACTCTTCGGAGTAACTGTAACCTGGAAGGTGCATTAATTCCAGGTACTGCTTTGTATTTCCATCTTTTAATATAATATAGACCGTTTTCTCCTAGAATTGTTGTGTTTTTAATATTGGACCGGGAGATACGCGTTCAGACTGCACTTATTGGAAACCATTTGAACTGCTACGGTAGAAATCCATTTACAACTACTATGATCGGTTTTGGATGGATCATTCAACTTCTTAGTTTGTGAATTTTCAGATTCTCGTTCAACAAGGTTATGCTGAAGTTTATTCTGAGTCGAAGTTTCAGTGTACGTGGGTATAGTACCTCTTATATCTACGAGTTTCACCGTTGAAATACTTAGTGAAGAGTTGTCACACAGATTACCGGCTAAAGATGATGAAATTTGTTGATAAGAGGTACAGGGTTTACAAGACGGAGGTGTGAATCTTCCAATATTAGATTCATCAGACTGATCTTGATCTTTTGGATGGTTTAGAAGTTGGAGATATTGCTCTTTTATTCGAATTATTGGTCATAATGGAAAATTGAGTGTGATAATTACTTGTGTAATTAAAACAGATTTATAAGGGTATAACTTTCGTGTATTAACTGGGTTAATACTAAAAATCATTAGCAGTAGAGATAGATTTTATAGATAAGACTTTCAGTTATTAAGTGTAAGAATTACTGTCAGTCGATATGTAGATTTAAGCTAGTGTATTCAAAAGTTAAGAACGCTAACAAACTGCTGTCGGTTTATATATAGTACTTCGGAATACTAGTCTACGATAAGTATGTTTTAACTGACTAAAAACTTAAAACGTTTGCTTTCTAGGAGCAAACTGCATAGGGTATGACAGATAATTTTACTAAATCAGTATAATATCCCAAAGAATCGTATACCACGTGAAAAAATGTTACCACTTTCTGATTTCAGATTTTGGGATGGTAATATTTGTATTTTGTCGTAGTTTCTTTTTTTATGCATTTTTGAGTTTCTATGTTTCTTTCCGAACTGCATTATGTCGTTTAGACTGGTACTTAATTATGGCGACAACCATATTGATTTTGTTACTTTGGCGGTTGGATCAATCACCCGGACTGAAAGTGTGCAATTCGTATTGGAATTTGTAGCCCTCTCCCAGAATTGGAAACACTCTCCGTTGTTATTGAAGGAATAACAGGGATAATATTGTTTTGGTAATGATGCTTGTTGATATATATGATTAATAACTAGAGTATGAAATACAGTTTTGTCATCAAGTCATTGAAAATTGCGATCAAGTCGCTTCTGGTTCGTCTATACGACAAAAGTAATAGATTTGGCCTAACCAGTCGTCATACCGCAGCTTTAAGTTCCATTAGTTAGTTCATTTAAGGTTCCCTAAAGCTTTTCTAGCAGCTTACTTTCTCTTTTGGGCAGGGATTGGTTGACTGTATGTACTACCTACATTAGGACAAGCAATTACTATATTCAAAGTCAAAAATACTTTGCGTTAACGTGGTTAACGGCTGACCAAGGGTTGATAAGCTTCAGGAAGTAGGTAAGACGTTCTAAGAGGACAATACAGTACGGCAAGAATATATTTGTGACAAAGCAAACACACGCCACTTTACAGTTATGGCGAAAGGGACACAGTGGTATTTCCAACAAGTGTTTTCAAATATGATAGGTACTAAGCAGAGTTCTTAGGTGGTATTCATAATTTAAGAGTGACTCACGTAATGGCATTTGTGGATACGAATATGTAGTGTATTTGTGCGATGGAACAGGTTAGTAAGGTCATATTTAATAAATAGTGACTATCAGAAGGTGCTTGGTATAGGCTTGTGAAGATGGCATGACAAACTTATTTTGTAAATAGTTTTTGATACTATTTGTATTTATATAACATGACAAGCTCGTAGGTAAGTTGTACTTTGCGTAGGAAAAAGCTTTGTCTTTGTTCACTGCCACTAAGGTACGAAAGAATAAAAGAAATAAAGAGCACTTAAGCAATTAGACATATGACTAAAGAAATGCTTAAGCAGTCATGGTGGAGCAGGTAGAGTAACGGTTCATCAGTAGGCAAAACTCGTGTCGTTAGGAATGCAGCTGATGGAGTCAAAGTAATACAATTATGAGAAAAAAGCCGGTTATCTGTTTAATGAAGGTAAGATTTAATTTGTTTAATTCTTATAAAAGTTAAAGAACAACTGCCTAATGTAATGAGAATACTTCAACCTTCAAATGCATGCTACCATGGACAGCTTACAGTTTTGTCGGTGATTTCTCATGAGATCAGCTAGAAAATACGAAAATATGTGGTAACTAACAATTTTCAGCCGAAAATAAACCATAACTAAATCGCACATGCCCTGCTATTTTGTAATACGCTACAATTTTCGTTGGATCTTCATACGAGCTAATCCACTTTATCTCTTGAGTGACACAAAAAAGCATGCGTTGCAACATCCTTCGGTTGTTTGATTTGTTTCTCGTTACACATTTCTGTCTTGAACCGTGATAAAGGACCTTAAACGAAGAATACAAAGTGTATCATTAAATTACCATGGATTCTGTAAAATTTTATAGTTGTTTATACCCAATAGCCTTCAGTTTCATGTATAGCATATGTAACAGCTAGTTAGGGTAATAACAGGTATACTAAATTGGCCTTCTTGATTTTAAGAAGATGATCACCAATGATCAACGAATTCGCAAACTTTTAATTCAGAACAAGCCGTCCAAATTAACAAACTCACCAAGAAATTTGATTTCTAGCAATGAAGCCTCAGTACTTTGTAGTTCTTCTTATGTTCTGGGTGGCATAGACAAGTAATGTTTATGAAATGGAACTGGCAGATACTTTAGCCTGTTTGACTTAATCCTACTTTAGCCTGACTACTCAGTTCGTATAGGTAGGAAACTATAGCGAAAATCCCTTCAAATACCCTGTAGTAAACAAATTTAGGAGCGGGTAGTTTATTCATGTCTCAAATCG